TATATGTTCAACACGCTTCACTAACGGACCAGCAAACGAACAGCTTCAGCTCTTTCCCGATCCAGTTCCCTGTTTTTATTAACGAAGAAAATCTGCATATCCGTTAACGATGAGCTTGCTGTAAGTAATGCTAGCAAAAGGCTAGTAGAGGGTAAAGTGATAGTCTTTTCTGTTCAAAATGCTTGAGAAATGAGAGAATTTGAGGGTCTTCTCTCAGACCCTTTTCCTACTTAACTTTTCTCCAATATATATTAAGTTTCTACTTCTTTAACAGATGTAAAATCAAACATTTCAAAATCAGTTTTTTAAACCATTCAAGAACATTTGCTTCAGTCTATATATTTTAGGGTATCACACACCCCGCATAACAGGTATACCACCGACGGGAAACGACTGCGCAAAAATATCGCCGATATCTCTCAGACACAACCACGAACGAACTCGCCGGGCAGTTGGATATCCCACCCCGCTCTGTACACTGTTGTTCTCGTTATTTTGGATTGCCCTGTGATCTGCAACCACATCGTTCGCATAAGTGTAACCTTTTCTGAATTCGGTTTGTGTGCAACAACGCCATGCCTATCACCCTTATTTCAGAAAAACAGGTTCTATCTATTAGGACGAAGTGACAACTTCACGGGATGTTCATCGACGAAAGAATCCTACGCCAATGAGCTGACTCGTGATGTTAAGTTGTGGCAGATCCAGTCGAAGGTTATTGTTGGCAGCGACAGTTGACAGGAGCTGTGGGTTGACGTTTGGGCATTATATAGGCTCAATAGTTGTGCTTTCGGGGGTGTACGTACGGGAAACGTGCGAAGTCGAACAAAGTTGGGGTCGAAGTAGCGTTCACCGCTTGTGAGAGGACACACTTGCCCTCGTGTTATGGCCTATAGAGGATTCAATGAGGTGTATCGGAGGGGCGGTGTAAGGAGGAAGGGCTTATCCTTCTGACGAATCATATCACTAGCAAGCAATCTGCGTGTGTGTGTTGCTGCTTAGGCATGTGCGATCATTGCTGAATGCTGATAACGGACCTGAGCTTAAGAATAGCCTTATTCGGGAATTTCTGCGAGAAGCAACTTGCAATATACTATAAAACGTTCCTGAGGCAACACTGTGATAACATTACACGTTTGGAAAGGCCTTGTTTGCGTACACGCTATGCCATGCGCCAAATATAAACATCGTTTACAATATCGGTAGTAGCGATTTTAAACGGCTGGCCTGTAAACTCATTTCCTAAGATTGTCTTTGTGAATCGTGTAAGAGTCCAGGGCGCTACCATTTCAGGTAACAATATTTTGGCCCCCAGGTGCGAATGATATGCATAATATGATCGATATGTGACAATAAGCTTGTGATCTCCACTGTGAGCCAACGCCCGTAGTCGCAATGATAGAGGCGAGGCATTTTTTCAGTATTTCAACTGCAAAGGTTCGAGCAGGGGGCAAGTTCTACTTGTCGCTAGCTGTTACTAGTTGTTAGAGAACGGATTAAATAACAGGTAATATATTTAATCCGTTCGAAGACGACCAAACAAATTGGAGGTTAATTAAATCGATGAAATCACCAGCATCGATATAACAGTAATAATTGTACTAGTTACTGATTAATTAAGCATGCCTAAAACATGTTTTTTTATTAGTAATTATTTTATCAATAATAAAGGCGAAATATAGAAAGGAAAAAAAAATGTAAACTTGATAATTCTCTTCGGGCTAATATCAGAAGAGGCACTATTATACAATTAGATTTTTCTAAAAATTATAGAATTTTCGCTTTACTACTAACAAACGAAGTACTGCTGTCTCAGTCCGTTTCGACCATATCTGCAAAATGTTGACTCGTCGAGAAGTTCCGACAGTAAACAATTCTTGATATTTGGGTGTTCGGCGATGGATTAGTCAATATGTCCTGAGCCACGACAACTTCGCCTATACTGCAACGTCTACAAACATTAATAACTCAGCATGACAACAGCGGGTTATTGTGAAAATATCCAGGCACTTCTCTGAGAATCACTCTTCAACGAAAGGGACTTTTTTGCGTCATTTGTGTGTCTCCCAGAAAACTGCTTTTAGCTCACAAAATAAACACATTCTGTACAGACACACGCTCGCCTAGACACAATATATATGACATGAAACTGTTTGTTACTAGAGCTGAAATCAGTGATTCCTAACGTTTCGACTAAAACAATAACATAAATAATCAACTATATTCCCATGAGGGATTTCCATGGGCCGGAGTTGAATCGAATATTTAGGGGTGTTTTCAATTTTTTCCATCATTCTTTCGAATAAACGCTTTACATAGTAATACAACGGCAGAGCTTGCTTCTGCTACAATTAGTGGACGATTGAATCAGCGAGTCATCGTGGGTTTAATGCGTCCTGAACTACAGCTAACAGAAGCCCCAGGACAATAATCTCTCTATCGAACCGAGCTATCGGTATGCGTGTGTGGTACCAAATGGAAGTCGATTCGGGAGTAAGACGACGTTTTTGATGAAATGTTTACTCCTCGTTTGCGACGACGTATAGCAAAATCTGTGTTCGGAAGGATAATAACTAGGGTAACTTGATCGAGTGACTGATTGTTTCGATGCTGCCCTTGCCGACGCCAACGGCTGAACTCATCGATTCTAAACTGGCCGGACTCGTCTATTCTAGGTACGGTCTACCACGATTAGCAGCGAGGAACAATCTAACAACATTCTTTACAATCTTGCATTTGGTAAAAAGTGACCTCGAGCACGCATCAAACGTACAAATGCACCTTTGGTTGTAATAGTTGAAGGCTTCATATACATATATATATATATATATATATATAATATGATATCACTAAACTAAATATGCGCTATTTGGATCGATAAATTTATGTCTTTTTTGTGATAACACCGTAATGTCGGCAGTGCAGGATGTGCGCGGTTTTTAGGCAAAAAATTGTGTCAAGTGATACCTCTATTGAAACCGCTGAACATTATTAAGGAAGTTCTTCAGAACGGATGGTGGTGATCTGAAGGTGCAAGATCCAGCCTTTTACGTGGCAAATGCATTGAAATTTCTCATCAGCGCAGATGCTACTTAAACAGTGGCGTCTACTGCTGTGTGAGCTCTATGGTATGTGAGCTCAAACACTTGCGCCTTCTGAAAGAGGGTGCTTCTAACCCTGAAATTTTACCTCATATCTATCTAAATTGGTTGCAAATATAACAGTAGCCGAATTTCCTATGTGTACCAGAAAATTCAGTAGGGAGACGGAATCGACTATTCAGTAACCGTAGTCCGTGAGCGTATCCTGAAGCTTGTCAGTGTGGCTGGAGTTCGGCTGGTCGAAGCAGGCGTTGAAGTCGCCGGCAATGACTAAAAAACGAAGGGACATCGCTTCCAGTCTCTTAACAAGTTTCCTCTCCTGTACGTCTATTTATTTCGAACATCGCGGAGCAGTGTATTAAGTAGAAATAACAGGAGGTTAAATGGATAAAGTGCTTAAGTTTCCGTTAGGACAAGATGTTTGTACTGTCCAAAGCTTACATGAGAAGCAGTGCTGGAGCTTCGTCACATGAATAGGCCAACTATGATACAGATTTTGCTGATTTGCGAAATATAGACGTAAAAAAAAAGTAAAAATGCGATATATTACTCTCGAATAAATACGTTAATTTTTGCTGCGCTGACTGATGAGTAGCGACAATCAGTGGTAACTTTGAAGATCTGTTCCTTAATATATCGTAATCAGAAGTACAGCTTATCTGCTGATGAGGTGGAAAGCTAGTAGCACAAAAGGCAACGATATAGGTTGTATCATACAGTAAAAGTGCATCAACAAACATGACTATACATGATACGCAAGCCTAGAATTTAGCATGTCTTCACTACAAGTTACGGTAAACGAAATAATCCATAAAGAGTTACTATGTTGACAAGCTGTACCGTCAATACTCAGAGGTTCGATTTCTTTAAACCAACCTATGATCAGAGAATTTCGTGCTGTAAATACACCGTACCCCCCAGAATTTCCCGTGAGGATGAAGCGTGTGAGCGTTACAGAATCACCAACAGATACAACTGAGAAGATCAAAGATCTTTGATCTAACACAGCAGGTATTTGAAATCAAATATAAACAAATACTTAATGTTTTGAGTATACGTAAACGGTTAATTACGTTGAAACGCTTCAACTTATACTATTCGAATTAAACCGCCGCAGTTGCAACCCGCGCTGGTTATCACTGTACACATTTAATGTACATAAAAGAAAACGCAATTCCTCAGTTTTAATAGTGGCTTAATTAGACTTCGAAGCCTGCGCACTTCGAATCCGAGCCTTATTAGCTCATCGGAAACCAATTGCCGAATCGCTTAAATAATTCGATTGCAGGGCAATTGTTATTCATACGTTCCGATGCCCAGTTTCATAAATAGTACATGGCAGTGTACCAAATTTTATTGAGTTGGATCAATTTATCGAGGCTCACTTCTGGCTACGCTGAAAAACAGGCGAAAATAGGCTCGGTCTAATTGTTTTATCAAGGCCCTATAAAACGTCTGTCATTAAATAAGGAAAGTTTCGTCAACTATTAAGATGTTCCTCATGAAATGGGGCATAATAAACTCCTATTTTTCAAAACGTTTTGCACAGAAGGTTAATTTTTAAGTAAAATATGCACTATTATTATCTGTTAGTATGCACCATTATGACTTGCTGCCCTTTTGAATGATAGCTTATCTATTCCAATGCTGAAGTTTAGGAACTATCGACGGGCAATTTCTCCATATTATGAAGATTGAATAACTCTCTAATTAAAAAGCTGTCCGGGTCTTGCAAAAAAATAATCATCTGTGGGAGTGTGGTATGCGACAGGAAACCGCCACTGTGATCCTCGTTGTGTGAGGTCGAACGCTGTCCTGTTGTAAAACTGGTTTGCCTCTAACTATTAATTTTGACTATTTATTGTGTGGTTTTTCATTGTTTTGTCCACTTGTTTGCAGAATACTTCAGCTGTAGTCCACTACGAACCAGGACATACGGAGCTACAGTGGATAGACCTTTAAACACAGATACCATGAACCTCTGCAGCTCTACATTTGTTTTAGGCTGATGTCCCGCTACCTCTGGTTACATCCAGTAATTAATGTACTAGTTCGAATGGAACGTTCACCGACTACAAACTTTATATGCACACATCGCTGCAGTTATAAACCTGTACTCGTTAAAAACTTACATTTTTCCTATTTTCAAGGGCTCACTACAATCCGCCTGCTAAAAGCTGTAACGACGATGTCCAAAACAAAGGTCCCCAACCAACTGGAAAAAATACGGGTAAATATCGAATCTTAAATAAAAATATCACATTGCTAAACAAAGACACATTTCGACTTGAAATCATTAATCATTTATCAGAAATCAGTAATTAAACACAGTTTTTCGGGGTGTGGCTGCTTCACACTGTCGGGACTAGAGGATTCATCAGCGCAGCCGATATTGTGTAGTCATTTTATCAGTTTAACAGCCGATCAGTCGTTTAAAATTGATCGCAAAAAATCGTTTTTGCGTTAAATTGAGTTTGTTATGTTAATCGAGCTCGGTAATGTCTCGGCCACTTAAGTCAACCTATCATATTAGGCTACAATAATAATAAACATTACACAAACACGAGTGGATCAAGCGTCTTCGGAAAGAAGCAACATGAACGGAGAGCCCTTCTGAATAATTTCTAAGATCTCTTCTTCACACAGATTCTCTTCTTCTACGATGTCCTTTTCCCTCCCGTACCGTGCGAGCCTCCAGCGCGTCCATGATCATAACGAGCGGCCTCATACTCTTTATTATGGGTCTCCCTAAACAACGAACATGTCTCTAAGAGTCTTACTGGTGCACGCAGCGCCCAAAATCAAAAGCTACATCAAGCATCGAGAAATGTTGCCCCTTTCTTTTATTCAATGCTGGTTTTCCGCAGGACCACTCTGGTTTTGGCAGGCCGGTTTCGGATTCAACGGGATGAACACCATTTCTGTACACATTGTGCCTTTGACCAAGATATTGTACGTGGCCGTTTGCTCCGGCTTTCGAGGACAATCAGCCAGTCGTAATGTTACGCGGAATGATTGTTTTTCCCCCGTATGACGCCTCGAGAAACTAGAGTTGGGCGCCGCGTACAGATGCCACGTTCAGGTCGCTACATGGCTTCGCTTCTCTAATGTTTTGCGATGCGAAGGTGTTTTGCATTATACAGTTGAACTATTGATAGTAAACATTTTTTGAACGAGTTCTGTTTCAACGATAACAAGAAGCAAATTTTTGTTGCTTATATGGCTCCTATTGACTGATATTTTACCAGAAAGACCTTAATTTGGTCTTAGTTTATCTTCATTCACATTAATCTGAGGACGCCGAACGATCCTAGGATCCTGTATCCCGGTGCTAAGGAAAGTTATATTTTTGGGTCTGACCATGCTCAATACCTTCTACGCTCCTCTTAAAACATGTGAGGCCACCAGACAAGAAAAATTACGGGAGACAATACAACGCCTGGGAGATCAATGGATTGAACCGATTGGGCCTAACCACTCATCCTATTCACTACCGTCCAATCTCTGCTCTTCAAAGTTTGATTCCCCATACCGAAAATCTGGTTGCGACAAAACAGGATTTTTATTACTGAGCAAAAAGTTGTCCAGTTTTGCGCCTTCCACTTATACCACTTGTACCAAATCTTTCTGAGCTAAATCGCTCAGTTCATTACAGCGATGAAAAACATTTGTGGTCTTCTTTTTTGTTCCTTGGCAAGGCTCGCTTTCTTACCCGTCTTCCTATCTCATCCTCTCATTTATCGTCGCACACAGCTGCTTCGAAAATTGAACCCTGCCACTGACAGCAGTCCGACATAATTTGAGGGCTGGGTTGGCCTATTTTCTGATGAGTAGCTCTATTTGCTAGTGAAATTTTGGTAGTGCAACGTGTGTTCACTGAACAAAACGTGTGTCGAAAGAAACGGCTTTAGCTTCCACGTTTACACTAGATTATATATAGTAGAGTTATCCGTCCAGGCTTTGGTATCGTCATTGGCTTTGCCTGTTCGCGAAAAAATTAGGTCTCGAAAGGCGCATGTTAATGGAGTTGCGCGACTGTACTGCGGTTGTTCTTTGCCGCTCCCCGCTAGAGATGCATTGCTTAGCGTTACGCCGCATCTATCTTTCGACCTGTGTGCATGACAGCTTTCTCTCTTTCGTTGGGTTGATAGCGACGGTATTTTCCTCCCGATAATGTCTATTAGCACCTATATATGTACATATGGAATAGTGTGAAGAAGCAGACCATCACTCGTCTGCTGAACACGACGATATCGAGGCTTAAACGACAATGGCAAGCTACCGCATCCGCTGGCAGAAGCCTGGTAGGCGTGTAGGAAGCTAGCAAAGGATAAGATTGCAATATTTGGAATTGTTCATGAAACGCATTGTGTCATATACAGACGTCGAAGACCGCTTCACCTTCTTCGACCTATGAGATTTAGTAACAGACAAAATATCCTGTGCAGATGTGTAGGAAAGGATCTGGCATCGAAGTAAAACATTTTTGGAGTATGTCTACCGATGTGGCGTGTTCCCAACGAACACTGAGCATTTGCGAAGTATTTACCGTGTTTTAGATATTGCGCAATTTCTCTTCGATAAACCCGTACGTCTCATGCTTGCGGTTCCTATTTTTTTGATTGAATATTATCCAATTTTAGCTTTCGATATGAGAAGAAAAAATTGGCAAAATCAAGCGTCACTCGTAGGTTTCCGCCGTTGAGGACAATCTAAAACGAAAGAAGTGCACAGAACCTTCAGGCGGTGAAGTAGCGAAATAGTTAAATCTCAACAGAAGTGATAGAACCATTTCATTATTTATTGGGATTTTATTTATCATATATCAGCGAATGGGGGTTTCGTAGAAAGGCTGACATGCTCCAACCGGAGACGCGGTGCCATACATGCGTCACGACCTCGGTAATCTGACATAAGAAACAAAGCTATTTAATGCCGCTGATGACTGCACGACCCATGAGCTTCAAGAAAAAGAACTACAAACCTTGAAGAGAACTGTAGCATCTAGAGGAAAGGGCGCTAATGCCAACCTCCCTTACCAATATACAGTACTATAATTACTTGTCTTATTGCGAGACGGTGATGATAGTAAAAACTCGACATTAGGATATTTACCCCTAATTATCACGCACGGATCGATGGAGCACCGTAAGACAAGTCACCGGTAGCATAACAAAAATTTATAACGTACCAGACTCCTAAAAGCCGTCTAATGATCTGCTGCTTTATCCATTGTAGTTATTATGGCGGCTGACGTCTTTTATAAATTATCAGGTCGCTAGCCGTCGTTCCGTAAAAGTTCTCCAGAGACCTATAAATTCTCCACTCAGTATACATAGGATCACTGCGATTCTCTGACTGCTCCTTTAGTTAAGGAATTACAATATGCGTATAGCCATAGCTCGGCGTTACCGCGCTCCTCTAATGAAAATTGGTGATTCCTAAGACGAAATTAATCGAACTCACATAATAAAAAGCCTCTATCAGGCATATTGCAAGTAGGTAGATATGCGCGACTCCTACCGTCTACATATGTAAACTCTACATATGTACATCACCCGAACTAATTTCGTCAAAGTGACACGAGCTGCATCATGGTAGCGAGCTTATGTATTAGTAACACTCGCGTGCTGGTATATAACACCGCGTGAATACAACTCAGGATGATCTCGGCGGTTTGATGCGACGTGAAGAAGATTCGCACAACCAAAAGGGAGCTTCCCTTTACCAGTTAGCCCCATACAATAAGTTGACGCAAAATTACACACTCCTTTACGTAGTTAGCTTCAATACATTGTCGCTCGGCATGCTGAAAAACAGAGTTTTTAGTTTGAGAGACAAGCTGTTTTTCGTATTAGGATTCAGGCTCATTTATCCCATAAGCTTCTCGTACACTAAAGCCGCTAAGTAGGGATTTGCGCTTGCCTGAAAATCCGAAGTAGGAATGAATCCGAAGACACACACATAGATAGCGAAGTTATAAACATCATAACAGGCGTAGCGGCTATTTTCTGGATAAGAAATCTTATAGATTCAGATGATTTTCGGGACGAGTTGTTTTTATACTGTACAGATAATTGGAATCAGGCGAGCTCGTAAATGATCTAAGAACTACGCAAGACTAGTAATAGTTAATGACAAATACGTCACCCATTTCCACATAAGCCATTCCCACAAGCCAACTTCTATCTAGCAGCACGTTACAGAAAACATTTTAATCTGCTATCATTGTAATACATAAGATAGATCATTCCAAGATATATGTGAAACACGCCAGCCTGCGCAGACTATATATGTCTATAGGGAGAGAGAGAAACGGGGACTAGACGACAGCTAAGGATCAAGCAGACGACGCCTCTCATCTTACTGTTGTCTGTCACCACCGTCCTGCGCACTCAATACACAGATATAAGTACCTGTGGTACCATCCGTTCCTATCGGTAAACTAGAGTGCAATTCTTATTAGGATTTTAATATGATAAAGAGTGCAACAGGAGCAGGAACGCAAATAAGCTAGGATGAAACGAATGCTCGACGAAGACCTAATAGCTCCGTTTCCCACCTACAAGTTTCTCATAAAAAGGTTGATATTTGTTTTTCATTCAGAGCGTTCGTAGTGGATATGACAAACAGCGGGCAAAAAAGCGGCGGCGGCGGCGGCGGCGCTGGCGGCGGCGGCGGCGGCGGCGGGGTCGTAACAGGGCATAGACCTCTGCTAAAGTTTACCAGAGCAGAACGCCCTTTTCGATGTTATTCTTATGATTTCATAGGTTTGTAACATACTTTTCTTGATTGCTTTTGACATTTCCACAACGCTTGTAAGTCTAGCGTCTCCATGTAAAGGCTTCGTCTTCTGGCCGACCATTGTTTTTGCCGTCTGCCAGCTGGTCAGACCGGCAAGTCGGCAAAATTCAACACGAGCCCTTCTCCGCGTTGACGACTCTTCTGTGTATGGGCAGTATAAAAATAGCGAAGGAATAGTAGCCGGTAACACTGGTTGCGACATCTGGCAGCGCAGGACATATTTTTCCCAATCTAACTCAAATGCGAATGTAGAAGATTATAAATGTACCAATAAGTCCGGTAGCTATACGTTGCGTTTTGTGCGTTTGTCGGCCACATCAGAATACGCAGATGTTGGACTTTAGAATTGTTTTTCAGTAAAAGTTTTCAGCTGCCCTGGTAGTTCAGCGTATTTCATACGTGGAGTTCTTAAACGATTTTACTGAGTTGTTTTTAACTCTTTTTAAGAATATTGATGATTAAAACGGCTTTTCTGCATCACACGAAACCGCTCTGAAGAGTAGCGTAACATAATAACGCGTCAACCATCTGTGTCCATAGGTGACAATGATACTACAGCTTAGTAGTAAAGGCTAATGTATCAACTGGTTTAGCAAACCGCTATAGTATTTTTCCCATGCACACATCCGTTTATTCATCTGAATCACATGCCTGATTCTCTCTTCGTTCGAAAAAACTAAAAAAATCTAAACCTGTCGCAACACACCTGAAATCATCAAACAAATACGTAGAAACTTGTTGTGACTACTCTGGCATTATATACCCGTATTTTAAGTATAATATTACTCAAGGCTGTGATGAACATATCAGCAATTCTGTATTTTCCCCGGGATACATTAGCAAATCGCATGCGTCATAGGAGCTCAAGGACCTGTTCGAATATGAGGCTATGTGACGGATGAAAGTACTAAAAAATAAATACACACCTTCGTTACCATACAGCGCTTGCAGGCCCATTTGCAGACATTTAGGTATTGGCGAAACCTGACGTGGAAGCATCCTTCATTATAGTTAAACAAGATCTGTTACTGGAATGCTTAGATAATAGGGTACTGATGATATAGATATGCTCCGGGAGAATTGTCATGTACTTGAGATCTGAATAATTTATACTCGCCTGGATGTCAGCGCCTTAGTCCTAATCGTATATTATGTGAAACGAATTTTAGAGAACCTTAGTGTCCTTTAATAAAATTAACGTTTTATGATACGCACACATTATAGATGAAACAGGTAAAAAGTTCGACCATCCTGCAGCATAACATTTATGATCAATCCGACTTTGTACGACGAATTCGCCAGCTATTCTTATATGGTTAATTTGTTAGTAATGGTCAAACAGTATCCAGAAACAATATGCAACAGTACATAATAAATAAACACTTCGAAAAGTTTGGCCTTTTCGAGTGATTATCGAAATTCGAACTGTGAAGTGAGTATAGTGAAGTAGGAATCGATTGAAAATTAGTTTTTTTTTTTGGGACTTAGGTGCTTTGTATGTGCGAAGTTTGCGTCTCTTTCTTCGAGTCATGAATTTTTGTCTTTGTTACCTCGGCCTAACTTCAGCTAATTCAATGCCTCTTCCAGTAACCTCATACTTCATTCTTTACTGCGCGTTCGAACGAGCCAACAAAAACTAATGAAATAGTTGACATTGAGCGCAGAGTAGCAAACCAGCTCTGTTATAGGCTTCCAGTTCGGTGCTCTGAGTCAGCCGCATGGCTTTACCGTTGACTCGCAACATGGCTTATGGGTCATACGTCAATTTCGATAATGTCCCAGCAAGCAAAGCTGCAGAACGCATTCCAATGCATAAGCCCAAGCTTTGCTTTTCTTTTTTTTTGGTTATTGCCTGTTTTTTGAACTAATATTGAACTCTGTTCCGAACCAAAGCCCCCCACCAGTTGGCCGACAGTATCAGACAAACAGTAGCTGTAAAGTCTGGTCTGCATAATGCATTTGCCCTCAGGCTCCATAAAAAAGAGAAGGGTGTCCCAATCAAGATGCGGCTGTCGTGAAACGAAACAACGTTGGCCGGAAAATGTTTGTGAAACTAAGAAAGGCTGATCTACATTGAAAATAAGAACATTTTAAGACGGTCGAGATTACGCTACCACACACCTCATCCGGCAGTCTCCGTACCAGCGGACGGGGTATTTAACATACGGCAACACTTTAGCTGCCCGCGCCATTAACCCTGGGTCGGAGGAGCACAACTGCCGCACTGAAAGTCTGTTCTTAGAAATAAATTCAATAAACTAAATTCTGCAGTCGAGTTTGCCAGAAATAATTGGCCGGAAGCCCAAGTTAATTATGAAACGATGGCTTCGACACCGTCGGAGTGAACGACTTCAGTGGAAGGTCGTGATGACAAATACGAGAGATTCAGACCGGGCAACCAGGAGCCGAATTTCACAGTCGATTATGTGTCATGCAGAGTGACCGATCGTTTAAATGTGGTTTACTGTATAATCTACTATATTTAACGAAATGGTTGTAGGTAGCATCTAGATAATTCTACTCTAAATAAATAGTTTCCAAATAGGTGGGTATTAGCTCGGATGCGAAGAGAGCCTTAATTACTTTATTTATTATCTAGCGATCCCTTGCAATAAAAAGTTTCTTTTGCTAAAAAATAATAATAAATAATAAATGCTAAATAATAATAATAAAAAGTTCATTTGCTATATTGCGAGTATAGAAGTTGCCTTCTTAATAGCGTACTCAGTGCTTTAAACGTAGTACCAAGGAGCGAATTGAAGTAACTGTGATTATAAGTTACACAAGTACAAAATTATATATTGTTGATGAGAGTCCGGCTCTCGAAAGGGCTCTATAACATGTCAGAGAAAAAAATGTCTTTTCTAGCTGACGAATATATATTAAAAAGCTTGTAGTGGCTTATGTACAGTAACGCACTCTTGTCCACTTGAAACTCAGTCTCCATAGTAGATTTCATGATCAAATAGGTTTTAGTATCGGTAGTCATATCAGCTGTCATCTGCCCGCCGAGTTGTTTTGGTTGGTTCATTTTTTTTCCTTAAATGATAAACAGCCCTTAAGTATTCGCTCTCTCTCTCTACTTTTCTTTTTATAAAAGCTAACACCTCTTAGCGTCCACATGTTCACAACGCGCTTGCTTTTTCGGCTGTTGATTTGCCAAAGACAAGCTTTTCGAGTTTTCAGTTGCTGCAAACTGCGGTCTATCGATATGGGAACTGCTGGTCCCCCGCGATTTAGGGAAGCGAATATGAGCACAGCGGTTTTTCGGTCGGCGTTACTAATATCTAATAAAAAAAATCACCCTTTACTTAGCGTTTTAGTATTATTCCTAAAATAATATTTTAGTATTAGCAGATTAGTAGTTTAAAATTACATGTTAAACTATTAATCTGGCCAACTCTGAAATGGAACAGTTTTTGAATCACGCTCTGCGAGAAGGAGAACTTCGGCTGATAAATAGTCTGATTTTCTAAGAACTTGTAAGTGAAAATCGGTTAAGTTTACTCCAGAATAAATTAGTTCAGGTACAATAACATCCTTTGATTTTGTTATCAAGTTCGACGCCCACAGCGGCTCAGAAATTTATCACAAATTGATGAAAACATCTAGGAACGAGGCTTTGAGCAAAAACATAGTACATGAATAGTATCAATATTTGAAGGCAGGAGATTGGAGTTTTGAATGCCAGCGAAGAGGTCTAGCGACCGAACGTGCCACAATCGAACAGACCGTTTATGAGACCAGAACTTAGAATGTAAGGACTATGTCGGATCAAGCCGGTACTTCGCGTATAACTTATTACACAGTTGTAACCCAAAAATCGAAAAGGCGGAAACGAACTAAGAATTGATCATTTAAGGGTTGACCCCAAACCAATTGAAAGTGCGTGTGCTACATCTCACGTACAAGTTGCACAACTCTAATAGGCAAAAACCTGCCGGAAGCACACGAGCGCCATAGACAGAGCATAATTCAGTATCTTGTGCCAGCCAGAAAGAAGCCAGGCAAAAGAATGGTGTTGCTCTAGAGAAAGGTCGGATTGGGCGGCAATGTCGAGTAGCGTCGGGCGTAAGCCGATAGTAGTACTTCCAATGGATATCAGGGGCATCCCCTAATATAAGACGTTCACCGAAATTAAAACGGTGAATTCAGCTTGCTATCTTAAGTTTCTGAAAAAAAAAATCATTGACCGGTGGCACGGCAACCGAAGGCGCACACTCTAGTTACCTGATAAACAACACTGGACTTTATTGCCATCCCTTAATTGAAACTTCCTGGATTAAACAAAGGAATAGTCTACGCCGGCTGCAACCCGCTTACTCCCACAATCTAAGTCCGTGTGACGGAGCTTCCCATAGCCTAAAAAGGACCATTGGTGGGGAAGTATATCCCACCATCTATTTACTTCGAGAAACGACAGAGAGAGAAACGCGAATGCTAGGTTAATGACTATCCCGAAACTGGAAAAGCGCTAGAACAAGTGTGTAAAAAAGAGAGGAGAGTACCTTTACGACACGATAAAGAAAACATCACTTTAACCCAAATACTTGGGCTATTAGCGGGCAAACTGTAATGAAACATACGAAAAATTCAAGTGGTTTACGAATATGAACTTCATATTGGAACTGCAGCGACGTAAACAGTTTAAAACTGGGATAAGTTAAAGCTTCTGCTACGGAACCACTACGAGCCGCCAGTTAAATTCAGAAAGGATATTTTAAACCCCGAGAAGGAGAACAGGAGGAAGAAGGAAATTAAAATAATAATAATGACCATGGCGAGGATGAGCCGTTCACGATATTTGGGAGGTGCAGCTATAGCCTGATGTTTTGATTAAACTAGATACTAAAATAAACGCATCTGATAGTCTTTTTTTTTTTTGTTGTTCAATGCTTTCGGTTATTATTTGTGTGAACAAGTTTTCGAAATGATCTCCTTCATATGGTAGCAATAACTTACTCTTAATAGGAGGTTTCAACTTATCTGGGGTTTCTCCAACAAACCAATGAAATAACATATTAGCCATTTTCCAATACGAACCAGCAATGGTCGCATGTTTGTAGCTACTGTGGAAACACATTCGGAAAATACATGTAAATCACATAGATTACGCTGTTCCAAGCGCCTCATAATTTATTACAAGGATACTGTTAATTGATTTTTACAGTCATTTCTTCGATTTATTGTCCTATCTAGTTTCATATGTTACGTAAACCTCGACTGGTAGTTTAACTGTGCAGTGGCTTCAGGGTCTTACTCGTAAGTAGAAATTTCTTTTTACATTAGAGATCATACCGTCAGCAGAATGTTGTCACTAGAGAGATGGAATACTTTGGGCGCTGAATTTGTATGAGGGTTTACTTTGTAGTCCAATAGTGGCAAAGACCGCTTTGAAGAGCGTCCTTTTTTATCATGTGTATGCTAATGCACAGCCGGAACTATTGCCCATGGTAGTCCTTTTGTCAGCTTGCATTTAAGGTCCTGCTAAGTGATTCCTTGGTCGTGCCGGCTGCTTTCGGCGTGGGCTATACGACCAAGTAAATACGTGTCGACTATTACTCCTAAATCGCTCAGGAAGGGTTCGTTTACTTATTAATCACACAAACGGCCCTTTGACGGATTAATTGTTCGTTTGGCCGAGAAAAAGGAGCACGGGCTGCTGGAGCGTATAGTGTTTGCTGATTAGCTGACCGTTTCCTGATCGGTATCCTGGGTTCATGCCATGTCAATGCAGAACGCAAAGAAAAACGATGTAGTATTAGCTAAGGTTTTCGCTTTTGGAGCTCTTTCATGTAGCAATATATCAACGCTTGGCTTGATGAATAGCAAGTCGTTCCCGTCGTCGGTCCTCAAAAGCAGTACTAGCGTTTCCTGATATTCAGGATTTTTCACATTTGTGCGTATTGTGTAGGAGCGCCAATGGGGGTCGGCGTAATGCCTCTCTACCTACCCATGAACTCAGCGTAACACTTTCATCTTGAAGGGGGCCGGCAGTGAAGGGTGATGCTGTGTGGGTAGACGTGTTCGGGCCTTGAAACGACAAACGAGACCACAACAACTGATACAGAGTCTTGAGGGGTTCTTTATTGCTTGGTCGTGTTATCCTCCTGGAATTGGGGTTCACTTCGCTAGGCAGCTACCTGAAGGTATGAAGTAGGTCATCCTGAAAACTTCATCAAACATTTAAACCGTAAATATACTTCTACTGAGAGACTCGGGAGACTGATACTCTATTTTGTTTTTGAACTGTGTGGTCGCCGCTAGATCTGATATTTGCTGTGTATCTGCGTCGTGATTTTTTCTTCCTGTGAACGTTACTTGATTTGCCTTGAGGAAATTTTCTTCCTAGATATCTTTTATTAACAGTAACACAACTACGAAACCATGCATCGATTTGTATGCACTTCTAAGTGTGAAATTTTTTGTCGACTGCTCGCAAATAAACTAATCGACGGAACTTCGTACGTGTATTATTTCACACATTGATATGTATACATTTTATAGTTGAACTGAATATAATTTTTCGGGAATAAAAAATTATATATTGTCATTTGCAATAGTATTACTCTGTTGTCTTCCTGTACTTATGAAATGGAACCTTTTAACAAAGCTTGCGGTAATTTTTCCAAATTTTATCAACAAATAACCCAACTTTCTCACCTATAGGAGTAAAAAACCAAAGCCCCTGTGACGACCGTGTTCCCCTTTTTTTTTTCTTTGGAAATTCTGTAAAGAACGAGCTCAAGTATTAATCTGAACCGACTAAAGGAAAGAGCCATTTAGAGTGCGACATCCGTAGACCGCTGGAAGTTCAAGAAGTGCAAAGAACTAAATAATCTTGTGCGCATGCCCCAACGGCTAATCTTCGCACTGGCAGATCTCGACGTTCGTTACTAATTGCCGTGTCGTTTGCTGTATTTGTTTTGATTTGCGCACGCACACATCTGATCTGCCGGTCTGACATACTGTTGTTACTGAAGAGTTGATTCGGTGAATCAGCCACTGCTAAATATAGTGGACGAAGCGTCTTGCTATATGTAGAAACGCGCCGAGCGGAGTCACAACATCAAATACGACAAGTTCCTAAAAATATTATAGATCAAATAGGGAGGTGTGATGGCAAAACAATTAAATAGCTATTAAAGCTGCGAGTTTTGTCGTCGTTTTCGTCATTGCAACACAGTGTTCTGCGATTCGGCATTGTATTCTCTGATATTCTGCTGGCCAAAGTCATACTTTGAGGCTTACGCTTTCTAAAATGTATAATGAACCTTTTCACAGGGTATGCGAATTCATTCGTACGACAAATATATATCCTTATACGCTAGTGGGCTTCATTTGTTCGTATACACATCGGTCGTCCCCAAATCGCGACTGCCCTTGCCGTACCTCAGCGCTTGTATATTGTCCCAAATCCTAATAGTAAATAGTTAGAGAGGATAAAAGTTGTACTGCTTTACTGAATTGACCTAGGTTGCCGCGTTGTTTCCAGTAGATGCAATCGCAGTTACCAGGGTTCATCTAAGTTCTTTACCTTAGTTTCGGCTGATTTCGTCCAAGTTCAGCGATTACAGCGCAAGCGTTTCAGACTCGTTCGGTAAAGATAGGCTTGTAATAGTCTCGAAATATGTACGTTATTCGAGACAGTGTCTTTTGTATGCAAGAGAAATGCGTCGAGTAAATGGCATTCAAATACCTCTAACCGGGTGCCTATCGGCAGTACGGAACATAAAACTCAGAAGCATTTAAGTATGCGCATACAGGTGCACGAAGTATACTAGCAAAAATCATGTACTCATCTGTTGTTATTGTTTGTCTCATTGTCTGCTTTCTTTCCTCGGCAATGTTCGCAGATTCTGACTGGAGTTTAGCGACGATAAGTTCAGCAGGGGTGGCGAAGAATGTGAATTACTGACGAGTTCGGACTCCGCGGACCGTCACCGCGTAGGGCGGATGGCTCGGCAAAAATGCCTACCGTTTTGGGGCGAAAATGGAGCTGTTCTGGCATTGTACGTCTTCCTTTTGGCAGGTCTCGTTAACAAGAGTCGAGCTCTACTCGAACGTGACTTTGCCGACTGGAAACAGAGTGAACGCGTAATACGAACTCTGTTCGGGAAAATCCGAGGCCGGGTCGTTCTGCCCCAGGGACGCTTCCACGACATAGCCCTGCAGCCGGTAGAGGTGAGGATTGTTCAACAGCGTTGTTTATACTGCCACTTGTTTAATGGCGACGAGTCCGTGTACAAGGGCAGTCAAAACTCTACATAATGTAATTGTATATGCATGTGTTGTTTACTCACTTTTTTACTATTGGCATGCTATTATGTCAGGTAATGTATAATATGAAATACAGGATTTTAGACAATTTCGCGTTTCGATCATTTTGACTGATAAGAAAGCTTGTTGTATATTGTACAGGACAAAGAGAAGTTCGGTGTTCTTGCAAACCTGCAAATTGTGAGGCTTACTAAGAAAGTGTTATAACATAGTTAGCTGTTAAGGTCACGTAGTGCGTACTGGTTAGCGTAGGCTTTTCTCTATATTCTGTAGTTTTTGAGATGTTGATGTATACGTTTTTTTTTGCTATTACGCAAATACGAGCTAGGTTCTATCTTCTTCTTCGAGTGATTTTTCAATTCTAAGCAAAAAACTAGTATTACTTATTTAGGGTATTTTGGCATTTTTGATAACGTTTAGACTACGATTACGCAAACGTGTACTCATTGTAAAATATTTATTATGGCTATTTTCGATAATTATGCCCACGTCTAAGTAAAAAGCTACATTCACACGCCAAATTAGCACGCTACAACAGTTCCTATTAATCGTATTATAAATTTTAAATATACTTCGAAATTTTTGTCATTATTCAGTTACTTGCTGCATGAGTAGCGGACGAAAAGGGCCAACCATTCAAGCAAGGAACCCTTTTAATATACGTTTTTGGTTAAGGGGGAGTAAGTTACGAAATGGGGTATAGTGAAAGTTCCAGCACAGGTACGCTTCAAGCTAACTGTGGTCAAACACCGACAGGAGGCTCCAGTGTTAATTTTGAATAATTAAATAGGGAAATTGAGAGCCTGATCGTACAGGACAGACTTTGGGCCTTATTTGTATATGTAAAGAGCAGTTTATATTTGAAAAACGCTAGCATAAAAATATAATTCAAGTTTATTTATAGATGCCCTTTAGATTTGCTGACAACGTATAAGATGGAGATCCAGTTCGAATCAAAGTGGTTTTATATCTTCTTTGCAAAGAGAAGATAAAGGCCTCCAAACAACTCGAAAACGAATTGTAGAACCTACACAGTATTCAGCTACTGGATATGCCCTGATCACGCTGCGGAATTATATGTCCGTACTTTCTAGCCGTAACTCTTATTATTTGCTAACCGGACGCAAAAAAGCAGGCCAATAACAACTTTGTATATCAATAACCATAGTCATTCACAATAAAATATTAACTTCATTGTAATTACGACCGGCGCATTCATTTTGTACCAATAGAATGACTAGTGCATGGAATAATCAGAAGAATTCTGTTTATTTTTGATACACTGCCCATTGTTGATGTATTACTTTCGAACTTTCACATATTCAGCTATACGGTTCCGGCTGAATTGTTAATATAAACCCAGTACTTTTAATCTCAAGCCCTTACTGATCGTTTTCGTGTCCTATTGATCTCGATTTTGTCCTTTTCAACCCCACGCACGTCTGTTCAGGTATTCCTTGGTATACCGTACGCGTCGCCTCCCGTCGGTTCGTTGCGTTTTTTACCGCCGATGACACCAGCGCATTGGGAGGGCGTTCGAGAAGCCGACCATTGGGGTCCCAGCTGTCCTCAACCTCCGCCGGAGACGCCGCCTCATTGGAGTCGACAGAGGCCTTATTTCAGCAAAGGTAAGGACATAGCGGCCTGGCGAGGCTTTAGGTTATGTGCTTGCTCTTCGTGAATTTGTTTCCCCGCACGCTTAGTTGATATTTATTTACGGGACGAAAATTGAACCAGCTCTAAACTGTAAAACTTGGAATCGTTTGGTGGTATAAATTCTAAGGAATAATCAAATAAAAGCTGTGTGCTTTTCTTGTATCTAGATGACTGATTAATTTTTTATGCATTTTTATTTGTGCAGTGACAGTTCTAATTATCCAAATTTATTGACTGTCTACACTGGCGAATATCTGTAGCCCAGAAGTCAGTGCAGCTTTTTTAAATTAGATTATTATTAGAAAAATCTACCTATGTATGTTCATACTTTCCAGTACGAAGATAAAAACAGTTTTTTTTTTTTTTATTGAATTTGAACAATTAATTATTTAACAAATCGCTCCGTACATTTCCTAAGCACTTTCTAATCCAATACGCTAGGCGAACGGTGAAGCCAAATCTCTATTAAACTTAGTATTTGCGCAAATTTTTGTCACACACACACACACACACACACACACACACACACACACACACACACACACACACACACACACACACGTTCCCATAAAAAGCGCCTAATCTTGCATATTATTACTAATATTCTTCATTCAGATAGGTTGTGTAGTATGTGTCGTTGGCGGACTTGAAACAGCAACCCTTGGTCTCTTTCAACTAGAGACTTGGCGCGCAAGGCACCGCGTCGAATGCTGCTTATTATGCAAGGCTATACTATGTCCGTTTACTTATTATCCTATACAGATGAAGACCGGGAACGTGTGCCAACCAATCGCAGCTGGTCGCCTTGGCCACAGATGGCGGACTTCCTTCAGGATAACCAAAATGAAGATTGTCTGTATCTCAACATTTTTGCCCCGGCTTCCGGTAAGAGGGGATCTCTTACACACAGAAAGTATTGTGTATCGGTGTAGTTAGCAGCACAGATGCTTTTGATCTGGGTCTATACGCATAGCTCGTGATTCATATAGTTAGCAACGAAGAAGTCTAAGCCTGTGTTCGATTGAGTGCGCAGCAGTAGCAGCAGCTGTTACCCTGTAAAATTGCCTAGATAAAGTATGATACCTCCACCAACTTAAGACCAACCAGAGCATCAACTTTTAAACAAAACAAAGACCAATAAACTTAATCTTGGTTGGCTCGTAGGTTGAGATAAGTTTCTATAGGTACTTCAATAGGACGCCTCTGATCTGAACTAAATCCAAAACGAAGTTTATTGGATGGCTTTAGTCCACTATAGCTTAATATTTTATAGTTCGTGATAGTGGTGGAGGAAGTTAATAGGAAAGGAGAACGTGACACAGACCACTCAATTAAACTGTTAACTTAAACGCGTGCTTATATTACAAAGAGGTGGGTAAAAGATTCATTTCGAGAAATTAGACAGCAGCCAACTGATGTGAAATCTGAAATATTTGAAGTGACGGGATTGTTCGACGCGATAAGTAGAAAGTTTTTTTTCTATAGGAGATTTATGGTCTAAGCCTTGACGCAATAAGTTTTTTTTTTTTTTTTTTATAGGAGATTGATGGTTTAAGCCTTGACGCAGTAACAGAGATCGGGAACGACAAGGGTGGACAATTGTCGGAAGCGTCAAGTGCAAGGTGGCGGAATGCACTGCAAGGCTGTGTGCAAGAATCGCGACTCTGAGTACTTATCGTACGACAGAGTGACGATTATCCACAAAAAAGCCTTTGCTATTTTAGTCGTGTGCTTTTCTTGACTAATAATACGTGATTCATTGATAATTGATATTCGATTATATTGTGACCATATAATCTAGGCGTCACAGAATTGACGAAGAATAACTCTGTGTCCCATAGAGCTGGCACATTTAGCGATAAGACCTGCGCAAAGCCTCAAAAAGATGCTGGCTGGACGGACAGCGGCAAAAGGCGACAAAAACCTATCAGTGGTGCTCAACAGATTCAACTGCAATACCTGGATGACAGATATCAGGCTGCTATTCGCTTAGGCATAATCTGTTCTAGTAATTAACGATGGACCGTAGCTTCTTTACCCAGCGCTTCACCCGGCCGCGAATATCGTTTTGTATACCATACGTATCTGTACGTAGAAATCGTTAGTCTAAACGAAACTTTGTGGTCCTCTACGCCGGACAATGTTCCGTTTTCCTCTGTGTTCTCACAACCAGCGCTACAGCTGATGCAACCTTTACAATCAACTGTATAATCATTTTCGTCCGCTTGGTACGGTTTAACGTTGGGAGCTATTATCTATAATGACCTTTTTGATTGGAACGTCGAACGTATCGGAACGTATCACTAGATGCGTCGACAACTATTACTGCTTCTGTCGACGACGTCGCTTAGTGTCATTTTGCTTTTTCTTCTTTTGGTAGTTGACAGTGGTCCTAGATACTCCTCAACCCAGTGAATTACCCAGCGTTCTTGCCGTGGTCTGGATAAACTTTACTAAGCCGCTCCAAATCAAACCGACCCGGCACATCTCGCTTACTACCCCGAGATTGTTACTGGGTCGACGCTGCTGTGTCTGAAGCAATAAAAGAGGAGAAAGAAGGCTCACTTACTGACTGCCTGCTACTACCACCCGTGTCATGGTAGCCTTAGTTATTCATCCTTGCTGTCCATCGTAGCGGAAACGAGCACGAGGACGCATCAGGCTTCGGACTTCAGAGACTTCTCGGGGCTGGTATCGCCGAGCTTGTTGGATCTCATCGCTGTCAAACGGTAGCTAGCTGAACTCGCGCTCCAAGGGGCTCAACTAGCGTCCGTCGGTGCGTAGGTCTCTGATCATTCGCGTGGCGCGGCTTTTCTAATTTTTTTCTACTTCTTATCTTCTTTTCTGTGATCCTCAGCCTCACCACTAGTGAAACCATTTGCAGTATTTGCTACGGTAATTTCCTCTACTTACCCAATGTTTCATTTAAAATGCTGAACATACTCGGTAGATCTATGGGGTTTCTACTCTACGGGTAGCACAGTTGGCTGGTCGGAGATATATGCTCAGCGCGAGCGTTTCGATTGTCGAATCAATTTGGGTCCCAAACGTCTTCCCCCTTTTTTCAACCCTGCGAAAGTATCTCACATGGCATGCATAGATTCTAGGGGTACTATAACTGTGGCTTGTATCATGTTATTATTCTTTTCCTTAGCGCCTCTGCGGCGCCCACATGCGAGTTACGGGAGCTTTTCACGGTCGTCGAACGTCTGCTGTGGATTGGCAAGCAGCCCATGCTTCGAATAGATCTTCGTAGTGCTGCTGAGGAATGCATCATTTGCCTCGTACTATAAATGCGAGCAAGCGTACGATCGGAACGACAGAAAAGAAAAAGACAGCTCGACTGGCCGGCAATGTCCGCTTGTGCATGTAATATGAAGTGCCTGTGCATGAAGCTGAGTTGCCCAAAAGTATAGGAGCGTCGCTACCATCATATTTGCCCTAGAAAGAGATATCTGACGGGGGATGCGGCTGGTGAAAAGGGATAGATATTTATACGAACGAACCGTGAGTATGTGTATGTGCAGACTGTACAGCGAAATACTAGAAATAAAGCAATGGCTTCCTTTTGTGAAGATAACGGGTGGAGACGCTGTTGTTATTGTTGTTGCTACTGGCGGCCGCCTTTTAGGCTTCTCAGCTGTGCTAGCTTGCGGGAGCGAGTGAGCGCTTCCATTTCGAGCTCGCCCTCTGATGGTCATTGTACATAATACGTTCGGGAATGGTGTGGGTGTACGGGTTTTAGCCCCCGTGCAAAACAATCAACGACGGTGGCTGAGTTGGAACGCATGCCCGGTTTTACCGTGGTCTTATTTCTGATTTCTACGTGTTTTGGTCCATAGAAATGTATTGCGTACTTAAACCAATGGCGATTTGAGACGAGATAGAAAATGTTGATTGTTGCTGTTTTCATAGTCTCGTTAACTTGTTCATCTGTTGTCTTTATCCTGCTGGTGATGTTATCTACATATGCTTATATTGTTCCTGAAACCTTTAGGAAATTTATTTGCTTTATTTATTTATTTTATACTACAGGTTAGAATCGTTACTATAGGTTTGAATCGTAAGTTAACGTATTATTTGTACATTAATCTAATATCCACTTCATAAGAATGACGAAAGATATGTAACTCATATGTTTACTTCATGATCCTTCATACTTCGAAATTGCTTGTTTACTTTTTTATGTAATATTATATTGTATACGAAAACTTTATATTTGTGGTAAAAATGCGTTTTTTAGTCATTGCATTTTGCCCTTTGATAGGATCAAAAGGTGTCGACTTAGTCCGAGATATATGTACTGCGTTTAGTGTGGACTCTCTATTTGAAAGGACTGCTTAAAAGCGATCAGAGAAGCTTGATAACGTACCTTCCCTTGATCAGCCAGCCGAGGTCGACAAAGATTGCCTAAAAAACTCCTTTAAAGAAAGACAAGTGGCTAACAAATTATCAATTAACAACGACGATAAACTACAGTCATATGGTTATCAGTAGTTATCTTGAATCCATGATATTTAATGAAGAATTAGGGGCCTAAGCCTGCCCTATAAATTTATCCAAGAATACAAGAAAGGAATGTTTTTTTATCGTCTCCCAAAATTTCGATCAGCACCAGACACTACCAGCGATAGTTAAATTTTTTTACAGAGAAGTGTTACGACTAAGGAGAGGTATACATGCATACAGGAAAAAAGAATGCTTCGCTTCGGGAAATGTAACCAACATTCGAATTAAACCGAATCTCCATCCCAAGAGACCATGACGTCTGATGCGGCATGATGAGCGTCTGCGTAAAAGATTTCCATATTGGAAAATACTTGAGGAAAACAAAACGAGCTGTGAGGATGCATCGAGTCAACTACGTTATTTAACATAGAATACTCTACGAACAAGGAAAAGCCATGTTTTTTTCCCGACAGTGCGAGGCTACGCATGGCAAAGACCGTTAAAGCTTCCTTGCAAGGGTTTGAGTTGAAAAATTTTATATTCACTATGTTTTCCAGGTCTTTTCCAATTACAGTTACAAAAAAGAGAGTCTCAAAAATCGACTGCACAAATTCATCAGCACGACTCTGGAAGACCTCCGGAAAACTCACTAAATAACTCAAAGATAGTATAAGGCCGTAGAGAGTGACGGCAAGTACATAATAAATTAATTCGATGCTAACCTTCAGGCTCCTTTTAGTGCGAAACAAACCTAGAGCCCACCTTCTAAGGTATGCCTAAGTTCAGTAGGCAAAAACGCTACTACGGCGCCACCTCTCGGCTACAGTTTGCTTGAATCTTAAACCGCAGCAATCTTCTGAAGTTTGACTGAGTAATCCTTCTAGGAAAGCCCTCCGACCAAAGATATGCAGACGGCACAAAGGTATTCGGCCATCTGTTTTTGGTACGCACCTTAGCTATTCGGTCCCACTGGTACATCTATCCGCGATAGCTCTCCTTGCAAAGCTGAAGCGGCAATTGGTAACCGCGGCAATGTCCTTTTACGGACCGACCGACCACTGGCAATGACCGATTGCTGACGTCGTTTAATGTCGGTGTCATCTGTCATCTAGGATCTACTATATCCAAGACGTCTGGCTGCTTAAGAGCCTGGTCGTCTTGCGTCCTGGTAAATGCGTTCGTTACGGGTTTTTCGAGTGTCGCTATGTTGTCATGGGAACGTAGACAGGCGATTGCTACCCGGTTAGGTAGGGATTAGAGGCCGCTAAGAGGACCTTCTCGATATTTAGGAGGTTCGGGTTGTCGCCAGCTTCGAGATAGCTTTGCTGTCCAAGAGATTAAGTGGCGATGCTGACTGTCAAGATAGAAAGAACGTGGACACAAAAAGGACGTATGGTGTCGCTATGAGTAAACGAGCACCGAAAAAGAAAGCAGTTGCTTTTAACAGTCGCAGCGGCAAGAGCAACGATAATAATTTCTTTTGATTACGTCATGATTGGTTCAGATATTTTTTATTGGTTCACGTATATTTGTCCATGTTACAGATAAAGTTTACGTCTAATGCTTGCATTGCAATGATAAGTATATAACGTCAAATGCAGGCCTGCACACAAATTCTACTATGGCACGCCTTAAATTAGCACTAGGTAAAGGACATCGTATGCATCGTAATATTTTTTGGTCCGTTCGGTTTTTTTGCAATTTAAAACTTATTCCTATTACATTTGAATCATTATCGGACCTGATTATTTTTATAAAAGTAGTTGAAATCATAAGCTGCTAATCTAAAATACTGTCTGCTTATTAAGACATTGGGGTAGACTATATGGCTCGGTCTTCCCGGAAAGATCTAAACAGAGATCCCAAAAAAAAAAAACACCTATATAAGGTATGCCTCCAAACGGCATTTTATATAGGCACATAACTGTAACCGATATGTTTGACGCCCACTCTTTTCGTTAATCCCAGCGTTCATGAGGAACCTATCTGTAATGTTTGTTTTCTAGCTGTTTGGAAAACAAACTGAATAATCCACTGATTTTATACGAGCTGTCGGACTTCGCTTCTGATTGTCTTTCTGGACCCAACGTTTGTCCATTCAAGAAATCATATGGTGATCATTTTTTGATCCTGGCCTGATTTATTTTTTGCCCTGTATTTTCGTGCCTTTCAGCTAATTTTGAAAGTGTTACAGAACCTGTTTCATTCTAATATCGCGGTCAAATCGTGGCAAAAAATATTTTTCAGACGCCTTCGTATATACGATGTAGGGCGAACTATTGAAAAATGAAAAAAAAAAATCGGTTCGTACAAATTATGCAGCCTAGAAATTGTATAAACATAGAAATGTAGGCATGCCGTCAGTACCAGTACGGCATAGTTACTGACTTCGCTTTGTTTGACACCTGATTGCATGTTAACTATAGTTATTGGTTAGTCGTATTCTTATTTCCTCTTGTTATTAATGCTACTACTACTGTAACTATTGGTACTATCATCTGAAGTTATCTGTATACAAAATGTACGTCCACAATTTTATCAAGTTTCACACTTCGCATGTTACAGTGGGGCGGACAGAACACGGGAAGTTGCCGGTGCTCGCATTGGCCGCAGGTTCTTCCTTAGAGTGGGGCGGAGCCGCCCTTCTGGATGCCACCGCATTGGCAGCTGCAACGCACGCTCTAATTGTCACCTTCAACTTTAGACTTGGCGTACTCGGTACTTGTTTGTAGGATTGTTAGTCTACTGAAATACTAGTTCAATCGTCGCAATACAATCACCTAAGCGACGGCATGGGGCAGCTGTGGCCTCATCCTATAATGCTTTGCTTGGGTAATTAGTAAAGGAAAATAGCGTGAACTAAAATTTATACCTAAAAATAAGCAAGATTTTTATTTACTTTTCCTATGCACGGGCCTTGACAAAGCAATTTGTACTCGGGTTTCAAAGTTATACATGCTAAAACAATGGTTGTCTTTTATTTCTAGATGCCAACACATAAATGATGTAATTTCATATTGTCATACCCGATTAAGATAGGAGCTGTATCTGTGTAACCCGCACACTCTGAACGTGGGTTTCTGACTATTTTGTCGTTGTTTTTTTACAGGGTTTTTTCCAGCAATGGATGAAGCATCCAGGGCGAACAACGCTCTGCTTGATCAGGTTTGTTAAACCAAATACAGATCGGGTTAGTAGGCCTGACACTAAACATTATTTCGGGAAGTATTTTCACACTTAATATATTGTTATTGCATTCGTGACTCTAAGTTTCGACGGGAAACAGTCTCTACTTGATGGCATTTCTGATTCAATAGGTCACACCCCGAAACGCCATCAACAAAACAAATATTCTGATAGCACACGTTGGACCCATTCTTAAATCGTATGAAAAAATAACACAAGCATGCCGTCATTGTCACCCTTGTTATTAAGTAAAACGTTTACGATAACGTGGCTCGTTCATGACTACACGGGAATTACGCCAGAAGACCATTCAATTTCCACTCTCCAAAGTATATTCTTAGTTGTGTTCCTAGCCAATGTCATATGTTTTTATAGGTCAGACACTTCATCACGATTTCTGCAATCGGCTACGCAGTCAGTAGTAGGCGAGACATTGCGATCAATTGGCGACCGTGTCATTTTAGCTTTTATTTTAAGCTTCGCATGCCATGCCTGAACGATTTTTTAATGAAAATTTGAAAAAAAAAAAAAAAAGTATTTTTTAGACAAAACAGTTCCAGCAACCTAACGATTTGGCTAGCAAATTACGTTTGAAGTCTAAAGCATCTAACTAAATAATATAAGTATAAACAGAGATAATAAAGTATGCTAAATATAATAGGACACTTGATGCAATATAATAGAGAACTGAACGGGGTTGTACATGCATTGATAGCTGTGTAGTAAAATTGAGGTTTTTCGATGGGACAATCCCAACTGCCAATCGAAAGCGAATTGAATTTACTTCAGCAAATGCATCCAATATGTAGCGATGCTGGAAGGGCATTAACTATTCTAAGTATACCTCGAATTAATTACGAAGTACAGCTAACTATCCGCACGGATCACTTTGAATGACATAAAAGCACACATCTTTAGACAAGAACTAACGCTTTCGTTTTATGACCATTAAACACAGCAATGCTTGACACGTAAATTGTAGTAGACACGTCATACACGGAATGTTTAAAACGGTACTCGTGTAAGTGCCTCATGGTAGTTTTTGAATTTGTTAATACGTTTATATTTGGTAATTTGTCAGGATTTGTGCTAAATACATAAAAGGCCCTACTTAACTACACCTCTCAGCAAAGGCTTAAGGTACCTTCTTTTAGAGCGGAGATGATCCAGTCTAAAGGTTTTTTGCTACGTTCGCCAATGTTACATAAGGTTCCATCAGAACAGCATGTCTTTCCTAGAGCGCACGTTGAAGTAGATATGTTCGAAACAGGATCTGGTAGGAGGACAGAGGACAGGAGAGGTCTGGGCAAACTGAGTGTCAAAATTCATGAGAGTTCTTGATGTTAACATTGTTAGAATCTCCACGGCATAAGGATACCTACAACTCCTTGGAATATTTTTTCAGATACAGGTCTAATTAACCAAAGGATGACGAGTTACTATCCAATAGTTAAGGCCATTGAAGAACACAGCTCGTCCCTTCTTTCCTTTGGGAATAAACTTTTCTGCAGTGTTTGAAGCACTTCTGCTTATTACATGGTATAAATTATAAATACATCTGTACACTATGCTCAAATTATTGCTACGGAAAGTCAACGTTTATTCTGGCATTGTTTTGATAAGCTGACTCTATTATTATTTGCATCAGGCCTTTCAGTACGAGTCCCGCCACCGCCCTGTTGCTTGTTATACGGTAAATCCTGTCTCGAATATACAGTACAATATCACTGGTAGAAAATATAATGGTTTTCGATGTGGTCGAATGTAACGATGCGGTGAGCTGATATTAAGAACTTGAAGGATTATTATTATTAAGAACTTGCGAAATTACAATTTCTGAACCGCTGATTGAATACGAAACCCCATGGTTATGAATGTGGTGATCTATAGGTTTACATATCTGATGCTTCAAGTTGCCGTAGAATTTTTTAAAGCTGCTGCCTGTGCTCTCCATTAATAAACCCATACACGTTTCATACACAATTCTTTGCAAATGAATGCAAAAGACCAGCGTACGAATTAGCAGTGATTTATTATATCTTTCAACTTTTCTCATAAATCAAATGGTAGCCTTGAATTTTGGGTATCACTTCTTGTACCTTCAGAATAGAACCAAGGTTGAAGTCTTGCAAGGCTTCGCCAACTATTTGACGGTGAAACGCATTGGAGTTATTTGTTTTTGTATTTCTATCGTTTAGGTAATAAACTTCAACTTTTTCTACCATTGCGGTGATTTCTATTAGGTTGCAGCTCTACATTGGATTCAGCGCAATATCGACTTATTTGGCGGAGACCATACGAGAGTTACTCTTCTTGGTCACGGAAAAGTGTCATCGCTCGCACACTTTCTAGCCATGTACCCTTTTGCTAAAGGTAAGTGAAACAGTACTACACTAAACTTGAGCTAGTCACCTTTACATCACTTCGAACTTTGATATTAATTCAGTTATCCTTTAGTGTAAGATTTGGAAATTGTCCTCGTTATCCCTACAAAATAATTTTACGTTCTCTATTCGCAAGCGCGAATCTGCCAGTGTCGTAAATTTTCATAATTAATTACGTTAAGGAACTTAGTGAGTGTTGAAGTAAACAAAAGGCAGATATGTTGTATCGAATAAAACATAAAAATTGATCTTTGGACGAAGGACTAGTGTGTTGAAGATTGAAAACTACGGCACATGGACCGACAAGAGATAAATAATTTAATTAAATTTAAATACTAAATAATAAAAGAGTAATTTAAATACTGGAAGCGTAAATACGTACTCAGTCAGTAATACTGAGAATTTTATTAAAGAATAATTCGAACGTTTCGATCCATTGAAGACTTCTATAGCATAAATATGCTTATATATATATATATATATATAAAGTTATATGCGTAAACGATATAGTTGATGTTCTACCTTACGCTTCTCCTATAACGCTAGCACTAATAACAATAATTGCAAGGCTACAACAGGCAGTGTACGGCACTGTCGTCATTGAACCTTTATAGGGGCTGTTCAGGAGCGCAACTCAAAACATACTAGAAGTCTACACTTTCGTCCGTTTCTGCGTCAGAGCTCATGGTTTACACAGCTTTTCGCAAGTTCTAGGGCGTCCAACGCATCGACCAGCTCCTGTTCCCACCTGTATGTACAATTGGTCCCCTTATGTGCGTATTCGTATATTTGCCCTTGAAGGCGTGATGCTCCTGACGCCTCAAAACAACTGCGTTCCCTTTGTGCATCTTTGGACGTCGCGTTCAGGAATGCTCCTAGCAGGGTGGAGTTTGTTCACTCCACAAGCGGCGGAAGCAGCGTTACACGCTACCGTGCTCCCGTTACGTTAAATGCACGCTCGCTAGTTTCGCACCGCTCGGGTACATATATAGAAAAGGAAACTTACGCTTTGAAGGACGATTCACATGGTTTCCATTTCGGCGAGTTTCTCTTGTCTCTGAACGAGCAGTCTCTGTCACTTGGCTTCCCATAGAATAGGTGTCAACGGCTAAACTGCGCAACATTTTGTCGATGTCTTTGCTACAACCGAGCGGTAAACTCGAAAAATTTCGAAGTACGTCGTGCCTATTAGCGTGATGTTTACTGCGATATTGGTCGATACTGCTTTATCTGTAGAATGGCATCATACTGTATATTGTACACGTGCGCCTATGAGAAGAGTAACGAACAGCTGCTGCTAGGGGATGTTTGCTGGCTAGGCTCAACTCAGTCAATATTTTTTAAATTTAGAAATCCCAAGAAATGTTGAGCCCAGATTCCTTTTAATAATATGTAGCTCATTCGCTTTATCATTTCATAAGTAAATTAAATGTTCGCTCTGGGTAACTTTTTACGATCGTATTCATTGCCTTCTTTGCCCTAATATCATTCACTGTGACATTACAAATCTGCTAGTTTACTCTGTCGTCTTACAAAAAAATATTATATTTCCCAATAAAGCATGCTTTCCTTTTGACAGATCTGTTTCGCTCGGTGGCCCTCATGTCCGGCTCTGCCCTATCGCCATGGTCGCTTTGTCAGTCTGTTAATATGCAGCGATTTGCTACACAACTCGCTCAAAGTCTCTCGTGTCCAACTCGGCCAAGGGCCATGGTAAGCACCTTTTTTCGCTAACTAATGTTTACTATTCTTTCCTCACGTACGTACCGATTGATTAGGTTGCATTGAATCAATCGAATCCGATCTGTAACGATCTTATTGCTTAACGTAGAGTAATAGACGATTGTCAAATGTGTATATTTCGGCATATAGGTTCATCTTGTCGTGCGACCTTCTGGGCTGGATTAGGTAGCAAATTAATATGTTGAAGGTCGCTAATAAGAGCAACAGAGTTAATAAGCGTTCACTGAAACCTATCGAGATCGTTGTTGCATAGATCCCATTTGTTTTTTCGAATATTATATATATAATGTGAATGAGTCATATATAAACATATATAAAGGTTCACGTCTTTAGGAGACATGTTGCGTGAAAAAATAACAAAACCTAAACTGTTATTAGATATAACAAAACTTCTGTCCGCGCACGTCCCGCCTTCAACTATTAAGCTTTTTTGATTCTGTGACGGTTACTAATTACTAGCAGAAGTTGCGCCGGATCTTCCCTCCACTAGAGCAACATAAACTTACAACATTAGACAAATAACTAGTAAATGCGGATGTCTCTCAGCACGATGGCAAGTATGAAAGCATACCTCGCCACACACTGACTTCATAATAGAAGCCTTTGCCTATTGTGCTCTACGTTCAACCGCATAGTGCTTGTCCCTGGTCCGATTTTTCGCCTCAACTCCATAATGAATAAATGCAAAGGCCACAACCTGCGACACCTTTGAAGCTTCACTGTAGCTAGTAAAGTTTTTGAAGTGCTTTACTTCGGTTCTTCTAGCAGCGCTTCAGTTGAAACGGAAAGGTTCAGGCAACCCTGCCTGCAGGGATAACGGCGGAAAGGTCCTGGGCAGCTCGCTTCAGTGTGGTTGCTATTGCGCAGGACATTGATGATCTGTTTAATGACGTCGATGTTATCGGAAAAAGCAGGCTGACCCAAGAACCAATGTTGGACTGGATGCCCGCCAGTTGTGGGAAACTACAAAACTGCTCGCACTGCAGACCTTTTGCGATTTACGAGATAACATGATCATGATAGTATACTTTATATCGACAGCCAGGAGTGCTATGGTGGTCGGTTGGGGGAAAAGTTATGGTTCCGCTCTCCGATACCAAATAAGCCATTCGCAGTATCCGCTAAACGGGTCGGTCGCCGTAATGTCCTGCAATGCAAAAGGTGTCGAATGTGTTGTTGAAGGTAGTGAGGACGTCTTCCACATAGGATTGTTTTCGTGCTTACTTTTGCGTACTCGTCGACCTTGTCCTCAAATAACTCGCCCCATAAATCATCTCAAACTAGCAAGTGACTATAAACTGTAAATCCGCATGGCTGTGGGCAGAATGTGGGTGAGTCCGTGTGTACGGCTATCTTCAATGATACCTTCGAAGTTCAGTTGGGTCCTCGAGGAATACAATCTCAAATGCAAGGTGAATGTTATAGGTGTTTTATTCACTTATTTATTGCTTTATTGCTTTACTCCAGGTGGAATGCCTTCGACATAAGAGCGCCGACGAGCTTGTCGAAATGTCGCGGTTTCCAGACGAGGTACCCGATTACCTTTGCGGGCCATTTGGACCAGTCGTTGATAACAGGTCTCCATCTCATTCATGATTTTGCACGCAAAGTGAATCTTCTTTATGATACGAAAATTGTTTGTTGTCAATATAGAACAATCTATCAATTGACAGAATGAGACGTTAACGTTTATACAAACTTCATTTGCTGACACCGTCTGAAGAAGGGCTTAATAGATTTTACTGATATTTTACTAAAAGATAATAGCTACTATATTATCTGCATTTCAATACAAATCAAGGGGGTATTATCTAGGTTTGTTCCTCTAGTAGTATATTTCGATTGATATCTATTTTTAGGACAATGGCGAGTGCGATGTCTGAGTGTTCAACAAACTGAGTCGGTCAAATTAGAAGTCATTGGTAGTTTTTCTAATCTTTTAGAAGAAGTGAATTAGCTTGGGTGCTTTCGAAGTTGAATGGTTCAGCTTTCTTTTTCAAATAGAGTCTACATGAGTTGGGTTAAAATCGTTTGTTTAGCTTGAAGTACTAGAGCTGACGATCCTGAGCTGAGACCAACAAATGTAGCTATAGCAGCGTCCAGTGCTCTCTTCGCTGCGCGATAAAAAATAACATTAGGCTAAAACCACTACAAGCGTGTACCGTATCGTCGATTACACAAATGTATCTCGGTAAAATACCTTACAGTTTTCTTGCTCTTTTGTTATCTACGTTATTCGATGCATAGGTGTCTCGGCTTCGAAGCTTAAAAAATGATCTTTGGATGACACGTACTGAGATGCAAACATAATACACCTGGGCATTTTGCCATAACAGCTGCGTGCATTATTAGGTGCAAATATTTTATAGCAGAACTATGCACACGGCATCATTAAATTTATCCAACAAATTTTATTTCTCGCTTTCCCCACTGTAGTGTGATATCAGCTGGGGGTATTCGGACGGCTATGTCGCAGTCGCCATTTTCGGATCACGATCTTCTCTTAGGGGTAACTACGAGGGACGCATTACCACTGTTCTCCGTGGAGGAACGCCGAGACGGGATAGAGGTGAGTGGTGGAAAAGAAGTGTTGTTTTTTTTTCACGACGAGTCCATCACGGCTGTCGCTGAAATCTTATGCCGCCGATACAATTCATACCTAAGCAAGCTCCAGTAGCATGATTTACTTCAAACGAGTTTGATACGGCGAACGTACTACATCATTGCCATAATTCTGTTTTCTGCTGCGTTTTTTCCCTTATTTCTCTACCCTTCGTGGCCAAAGTATGGCAAAGTTATTGCAATATTCTTTGTGTAACAGGCTTTAATTTGAGTGTTTTTTTTTTCGATCTAGATAAGTAACGGCTGATTTTATGGCGTTTCGCTTTTCAGGCTATTTTAAAAGAGCGGCTCATTCGAACGCTTGTTAGAAATACCTATGACTACCACCAACAGGTTAGTACATTTTATTATTATTATTATTATTATTACGGAACATATAATCGATAGAGAAAATTTTGCTTTTTTACCCGAAGCAAACTTCAGCTATATCGCCAGGTTGCATGTGAGACGCTTCCTTTCCTATTCATAAAGATTACGTGAGCCGGACGCCAGGTGACGTAGCTTTCATATTTGAATCATCGCGCTTCGGTGCTTTAGCTCTTCTTCCTCTACAAAGTCGACAAACATACGACGAGATTGTGCCAAAATAAACGGAAAAAAAAGCGCACGATTACGAAAAACAATTTGTTCCGAATTTACAAAACGTACACATCGTAATAGTTGGGAAAACACTTTACCGAGTAAGCAATGCGGGCTCAAAACTTAGCAAAATGAAAATTTCTGGAAATGAAATGTATACGCATATATATAATCAGCGACGGTGGAACATTAACAGTTCTGGTCCAAAGACCCTGGAAGCCAGTACAAGAAGCTGGGCAGTACGGCGAACGTTTGTATCTTATACATAATTCCATTGATGTAAATACTCTCTTCTGACTTGTATGGCTGGCTGCCCCGTTAGGAAATTTTCCTGACGATTGCGAACGAGTACACGGATTGGAGTCGCAGTACGCCGACACATCACGATATTCTATCTGAGGCAGCGGCTGCTTTAGCGGACGGGACCGTGGTAGCACCCATGATCGAAACAGGCGTCCTGCATTCACAGGCTGTACAGATCACGTAAGTTGCATGTTTTATTTTACAAATTTGAATCATTTTTGTTGTCCTTCAACTAAACAGGATTCAAAAAACAGCTCAATTGGTGGTTTTTTTTTTGGAAATAGAACGTGTTTATCATATTATATATTTCGCCTTACATCGTGTTGAATTCGTTAGTCGATCGCGGGCCTCAACGCACTTATTAGTATTCGCTCCTCCGAGTGAGCCGGGCTGTACTTCACGGACGTCTCCTTCAACCAAAGCGAGCCCCACCTGTAGCCCGGTAGCCTCGGACGCGCTTCCCCGCGATCTACTCTATCTTCTTGGCTTACCACTTCGTACGACGCAGAGGTATGTTGCAATAGTGCACAACTTATCGCAAAATTCTTTTTTTTTTCTTCTCTAAAAGGAGACGTACTCAGGGACAGTTTTGCAGGTATGTTTGACTCACCGCTTCATAGTATACCTACTTCCACATTAAGCAGAAATTTTCAAAAAAAACACAAATTCATTATCCCATTGCGTATAGCGAAGTCACAGTCCGCCTTGCTGCAGAAACGGAAACAGAACTGGCGTTAATTACTAGATTAATCTAAACACGTTCTATATCTATAATTAAGCTAAGAGCTTTTAATTCCCGCAGATACCGGTCGTGCTCGTTTGTTACACATCATCAGTGCGGCACAACATTTAAACGCCATATTCCATTATTGCTATATGAGGTATCTGTTGTGTTGTAGCAGTAACGTATGAATACGGGACAGTTCGATCTTGCCTGCACGTTTGGGGACCGCATATCAAACGCTGGTAATAATCATATGACAGGTTCAGTCAGTTCTGATATGGATCGCTGACAAGCTGTAGTTCTGACTTCTTCTGGGCGACGTTCCCTTTTTAAAAAGAAGGAATAGATGTTGACATGGCGTATCCAGAGCGCATGGACGATCTAACACATTCACACCTTTCCTAGGATGCAATCAAAGTTTTACGGTATTAACCTGCGAGAACGACACTTGCAATAGGCCATCAACTTAGCATAAGGCTCTTGTGGAACCCTAACATATCGTCGATCATATTAAGAGCTTTGACTGGTGTCGATAAACACGGCTTTCACATTTATGTACGTCATTAAGACGATGTTTTCCCACGTCAGCGGATCGAACTGCAGTTAGTCATTGCAGCTATCTGGTCGACGTTCAGAAATGTCTTTACGGCAGCCGAAGCCATTACTATAGTGGCCAGCACTGGTGGAATTGGCAATAAGTTTTCACCAAGCGTTTACTATACGTGTATATTGTGTAAGGAAGATAGACGTCTGTGCTCAAAACGTAACTGTAAGCGGTTTAAACGTAAAATGGGAGTAAAGAAGTTTTAGCTTACGGTTGTGTGTTTTTTGAACGTAATCTATTCTAAACGATGTGGACGATATAATTGAAAACAGACGATCTAGTCAAGCTCCTAATTTTCTTTACTCACCTGTTCCGAGATTAAGTCTGGAAATGAAATTAAGAAATGGACTTTGCCTCAAGGGGGCTTCACAAAAGAGGCTCTTCGAATGCCCCTTCAGTGGTGACGTATTAAATTAGCAAGTGTCGCTCCGGCAGGTTGGAAATTCTCCATCAGCATACGTGAGATTTACAAAAAAAAATAGCGCAAATGAAAACTCTGAAAATGGTGCTAGATAGAATAATTTAGTGTTTAGAGCTTTATAGTGAATTTGAAGGAAGAGAGCGTTCGACTAGCGACATAGTAAAGCAATTTTATCTGGGAACTTATTTGCCTATAGGCTGCAGCGACTTACGTGGGAAAGATACGCAGCTGTCAAAACTGGCCCCTTTTTTTGGTAGTAGTAAATTGTACCTACTCTCCGCTCAACACTGCTTCAACCTAGTGTTTACTCGAGACACGCATCAGAAACTATTGCCGCTAATCGGAAGTGGCTTTTATGCCATATTGTTTTATAATTTTGCTTCTTGACGATCGTAGCGTCCCTAAGAACTTTCATCTTAACTTTAAAGAGGTATTGTAGCCATAGCGTAAGTTCTACATCCACAAATGGTGGGTTCGTCCGGAAAATATTAATCCAGTCCATTCGGGTCCCTGATAGGTGGATTACTACATTATTCGTTGGTTAAATTAAAAGAAAGTGTTTCGGAAATGAAAGCTACATGTATGATATGTCCAAGGTATCAGTAAAGTTTGAAACAGCTATGGTAGTTCTGCTACAAATTCGACTTTACGTAAATCTGCAGGCTGCTCGGTACACATTGGGGTATTGGGGCTGAGAAGTTGTAGACCAAGTAGATATGTCTATCGAAGACTTGCAAGTCAAAACTGGTTCAATCAGTGGGTATAATTACAATAGGAAGTCTTCTCTTTTGAGGTTTTGAGGATATAGTGGCCTCGAGTTGCCTACTTTGAATTGGGACTACTAAGCGCTCTATAGTCTCTTGTGTTGAGTGTAACGGGTTGTTATAACCACGCATTTGACAAATACATAGTGTCGTTTGTTAAGACTACTTCTAGATCACACCCGAAATTCTATTATGCCAATTTTATACAATTTTAGCCGGTTTAACATAAAGCTACAGGAACTTGTTCAATTAGAAAGTTCTAGCAAGTTGAAATAGCAAATACGATATAACCTGTATATTAGTGCATACAAAGTTTCAATATCTGTCTCCAATCAAGACCTATTATTTAGGCTATGTCACTTTTAAAGCACTACATTTTTAATACGACTCCCTTTTTTATGACTTCATCCGAATCACTCTTGCTGGGGCCTTAAGGTTAAGGCGTTCGTTCCGACTATACGTACTCGTGTAGATGTTGTCATAAACACACGGAACAGGTACCAAACTTTGAGAATTAGTCTATTATCTAGAGAAGAAAACCTTCATGCGTTCATTTTTCATTTCGCTGTATGTATTTTCCTTACTACAGCAGTAATCTTAGAAGCGAAAATCTTACATTTCTATATATTACATCAATATTTATTTCTCCTATGTATTGTTAAGTCTGGTGTCACGTAATTAGTTAAAACGCAATCTCGTCTCAGCCATCCCAGACATTGTATGTATTTAGGCGCATCTATCCAATAACTCAAGGATGGCTCCCATGTCTTTTAACCTTAAACAGTAACTTGTACCATTGCCACGTACCCCTTCTTTGACCTTGCTCCTATACCGACGGGAAAGCCTTCTTCTAGCGTACTGGCATATTGTTCATGTGTTAGGCACATGTCATGGTCTAGGTTTAAATATGGACGTAGACATATTCGTTATGTGCTAGTAGCCAGGGCTCTGATGAAAGGCTGGATGACGATCTCGCACGCGAAACAAGAGACATGAAGTATTAGTGGCGTCGACTCTATCAGCTGTAGGGTTGGAAGCATAATATTTTGAAATATAAACGTTTTTATCTATGTATGTAATTAATATAGCGTATAGTTTTGTAAAAGCTCCATCAGTTGGTAGTGGATTAACTATTCTTCTGCAAGTATTGAGCATTGCAAAGTATTATTATGTTAACGTTCGCTTATGTGTGGATTTTTGCAGTGTCTTGTACCCTGAATTCTCTCGTCAGGAGGCCAAGATTTCACAGGCGTTCGCCCATTACCTGAGAAATTTTCTCCGCGACGGGTAAATATGCCCTATAGACACAACGTGGGACAAACGTCTCCTGAATATTTGAAAATGCCATTTGTCAGTATAAAAGTCTTCACTAACATTTTTAATTCTTCTTATTATCATTATATTCGAATTATTGTACTGTTACTTTGAACTGAATTGAAAAATTGAAAAGTAAAGACGCTAAAAAATATTAAGCGAGCTTTTCCAAACTGTCGAAGTACTTTCGCCCCACTTTATATATATATATATATATATATATATATATATATATATATATATATATATATATATGGAATAGTTTATATAAGATAATGTTTAAGCGAAAGATCTCGTGATTATTAAACTGGCATGTTACGTTAGCGTATACAGATACAAGCATACGCAGTTATGTCATGACTAGACCTTACCGTCCAATTGCTGGTAGGAATGTATGTGTTCGTTCAGAGGTTAGTGTAGATGTTTATACATCACATACGGCGTCGTGTTATAGCGAACGTATGCCGCGACGGTTTCCGCAAACAGTTTCCCTGACGCAGACAAAGGCCTAGCTATATTCTATAGTCATAAGAATAGGCAGTATTGTTTCCATTCAACTGTGTCTCCCCTGTGCGCACGCAGCGACCCTAATGGGCCTTCGCACACTGGAATGGCTCACCACCAGGGACGCGGTAAGGATAAGCAGGAGCCTGTTGCGTGGCCACAGTTTGAGCCTATTCATAAAATGCACCTGGTACTGGCGGGTAAGTGCGTAATTTTATTAGTGTTGCGGAAAGAAGCCTGTCTGTGTAATGTCAATCGCCTACCGTACAAATAGGTAATTGTCTACTACGGTCGTGAATGGCGTCCGCTTTTATGATCACGATTATTATTGTCGCTATTAGTATTATTATTATTATTATTATACTTTGTACAAATGTAACGCAATGCTCAATTCTAATATTGAACCCTTTCTTATAAATATATACATGTACACAGGTAGGTATATATACAGCTGTAATTAGCTATGGTTTAACTAGGTCACTCATATACAGTAGAGTTTCAAGTTCCGAGAAAACAATTTTATATCTTGCTTTCCCCTTGTCATGAGTCTTCCGACATGTGTGGCTGCCTCTCACTTCTTTGGTTAGTTCTGACTAAAGCTAAATGAAACCACGTGAGAGTCTGAATCTAGTGGTCTAAAAGGGAACCGCGAAAGTAAGGGGTAAAAGACTAAAGGAATATGGAGGCCAGCAATGCTTAAGACCACAACGAAGAACCTAGCCATTGTTACATCAATTGTTTGCTACTGTATGCGCATTTGGGGAAGTGGAAGACAAGTTATTTGCTATGCAAATCAGTAGCCATATTGCACCAGGCTGAAAGGCAGAAATCTCTGCAAGGGATCTACCTGTGCCACCTATCTCCAAAAGAGCGAGGAGGAGCTTTTTGAAACGGAAAACGGGCGTACGGGATAGAGGCAGAGGGCAAAAGAATAGCTGCAGAATGCGGCCATTTTCGTCCATGTGTGATTCCAAGGCATGAAAGTTTCGTTGCTAAATCAGGAAGTTTTCCTGCCGTTCTGCTCTAGTTCATGTGAAGGGGTGTTTGTGACCTCTGGCAGGTATCTTTATACAAGGAAAGCTGAGTGGATCGACTGGCGCTGTGTGGAGGCGATTACCTTTCGTAGGAACAACTTGGTGAAAATCTGCGGAAGAAAGTTACCTGTGTAAACCGTATTATGCTGCATCGCTACCTTGAGCTTATATATGGTGTATCGCTGAAAATGTTAGAAACGAAAAAGGCACATCTCTGAAACCGAAAGCTTTTTTCACTGTTTCAACGCATCCAACGACGTTTAGGATTATGTTTCTACTGCTGCTATTATGTTACTACTGAACATGACTGACAAAGCCCCGTCCTTGTCTGCATCTCTAATAGGCTGTTAAGGAGAATGTCTTCAATAGATAGAACAAATGCAGTAGGCTGAGTTCCGCAGAAGGCCTTTTGAAGGACAAGGAATAGAAAAGACGCATATAGCACCTGGCATCCGCTTCTGGTTCGCCTGCTCTATCTAACAAGCTGATATTAAGCATCCGATAAGTGGCATACACAATATGAAGAATTTGTCTTCGTTGAAGCAGCAATACAATGGCGACGACAATAGGTTGAAATGTAAATGTGATTAATGTAAAAATTATCAATTCTATATCAGCTTCTGGATGCTATCGTCCGCAATATAATGCGGAAATAGCCGTCGTAAACAATGCACTATAAAAGATATGCCAGATGGCTGTGTCGAAGTGCTTATTCATATGTGGTCGAGTCGTGGGGCTGCTTATCGCTGGTGGGTTCACAGGCGTACGTAATGACGGCAAACCCTTGTTCAGGGACTTTTGGATAGCCTGCTGGTCGTAGCATTTCTCGTTTTCCCTGAAGAAGATCACGTAACATCTGTCCTGGTCTAGAATGCTTTCTTGCTATGTTTAAGCCAAAGTGACACAGATAAGCCTTTGAAGACATTAAAGTGAATTGAAATGTGTGAATGCGACTTCTGTTGGACTGCACAATATGAATCGACTAACAAATAAAGCAGAAGTCGATAAATTAATTTTTAACAGTCTTTTTTTTTTTTATTACTAATTATTAAGTTGAAATTAGGTTCTTAAAAGCAATAGCTTAATGTTGGGTCCAAATGTTTTAAGACTTTTTGCAGTTACTTTTAATTCCGGAGCATCTGCAACTTTTCTCTATACGTTATGTGAAGCTATACACATATATATATATGAATTTATTTACCTTGAATATAAGCATGTTTTACAGTGGAAAATGACAAACATTGTTCAGCAATATCTGTGCCGGCTTTGTTGCGTGACCCATGGCACAAACTCTATCGGCCATGCTTTTCTTCTGCCATCGTACGCTGGTTGCATTGCAGATGGCGCCGCCCGCACTGGCAGTCACTGGGATGCTCATCGACTGTCCATCTGGAACCGCTTACTGCCGGCGCTGCATAGGCCGACTCGAGGCCTTGGCGCCCAGGCCGGTAGTGGCGTGGCACAAGCGTCTCTTTCCCCACTTCAATCACAAGCCCAGCTGCAACATCAATTGCTTGAAGATTTCGACAATCCGGCTTCGTTTGCCGGTAGCATACGTAATATCTCGTTTCTACTCCATCCGGTGACGGCTATCGGGCAACAGCACGTGTCTCAGCCAGGAAAAGCCGATTCATCCCGGGGAGGATCGCTAGTTTCGGCCGTCAACAACCTAGACGATACCGGTGAGTTGGTCAGCAAGAAACGCGATCCCGCAGAGTCTTCCACCATGTACTATACAACTCTTGCGAGACTGCATGTATTTGTTAAAGTACTATTTTCTTTTTGGCTATTTTATATTAGATATTATCGCTATCCAAGCACTGTATATAATTCAGTCGTTTCGAATATGTGTCAAAACAAAATTGCATACAAACCGGTGCAAATCAAACATTATTTGTTGATTTTTTTTGTGTGCAGTGGACAAATAGTGGCATAATTGTATTATCGCTTTTCACTTAAGGACGCTTGAAGTGGTCTGGTAGGTTTGTTTAGTGCTGTCATTTGTATTTATATAATGACCGCAATCACCGACTGGAATCCGTCAGGAACAATCAGATCTGATGCCTTCCGCAAAAGGTGCGTTCCAGCTTCTACTGATACCAAATCTACCTGAAGTGCTTGTTGGCTGTCGGAGAATAACCCTGATCGATCCGTATCGCAAACAAAAACCTATTCGCAATGTTACCAGGCGTTAAGCCTGCTTGTACTCGATATGATCTCCAGCGTTACGTCACACGCCGTCCCTGTTTCAATATCAACTATTCTAGCTTACATGCTTGTTCGTATGTTTGTAGGTGTCGATCGATCGAATTCATTTTCGACTCCTGGCTACGCTCATTCCTGTCGTTTGCCTATCTTGCCTATCTGAAATTTATACGTTTTCTAGTTTACGATTTAATCGTAGATCAGTAATCCATCGCCTAAATCAATTGAGATTCTGTTTACTTTTCCGTCAAACATCAGTTGGCCTCTTGGCCAGCAAATCAATATTAGTAGAGCCTGCAAGCACCTCGGTCACGCACGCTTAGCCGTTTGCAGCTACACCGAACGTACGGTTCAGCTGCACTCTATCTTGCCTTAGCGAAACTGTGTAGACTTGATGGATCGGACGTCAATTAAGCCTTGGTCGGCTTTTGTCGTACATTTCCATGATGTTTCTTCGACGGCTGACCAATAAGCCAAGCAGAAAACATATTTAGCTGACTGAAAAGTCAAATCGACTTGTGATAACCTGCCGAAGAAACCGGCCATTGCTTTGGCGTTCGCCACCCCGACAGCTGCAAAAATTGACAGTATATTGATTTTCTCTGCCTCGTTCCTTTGAATGGATTATATAAGAGTCATCACCTGTCACACTGATCACTGTCGCCAAAGGCAATGTATAAGTTTCGGCTAACTGTAGTGCTGAAACACAAAATTAACTGCGGACGTAAAAGTAAATGCAGGCAAAATACAAGTCAATGTCAATTTTGTGACTCATCCCTGCTCACGACTGGGCGACAGCTGTTTGTATGTACAAGAATGTACGCTGTACGCCTTACGTTCTTTCCTTGCCCTTATTGATTTGGAGCGTATGCATGAAATAACGTTTAACCGAAAAATGTTCCGAGGATATGTTTCCGAGTTCTTAAGATATATATATATATATATATATATATCTTAACTTAAAAAAATGTGGATTCCTATCCCATTAAAATGCTCTATCTTTATTATTTTAGTAGAACTGTATCTGGTATAGAATTTTTTTAAAATCATTTTAATGAATATGATATATTTGAAAACACTTAGGTAACTACCCCTAATGCTTCGTTGGTGAACTCAACTAGAATCAAGTACATATTATTGACTGAATGCTTTTTACTGAAGTGATAGGAAATAGGTGTAACACCTTCAGTTGTAACAGTCTTTCATTCATTTTGTTTCTGACAGAAATTAGCGGTCGACAAGATACATCTTCAAAGAAGAATCTTCAAAGTCAGCCAGGATCTTCGGAGCAATCCGGCGTCACTCTTGAAAGTGCCAGCTCGCCGTTCAACGCCTTGGCGACACTTACTAGCGGCCCATATTCAAGGTAAAATATTACTACATCGTTTAGCCTATGTGCTTCTTCTACGTGGCGTATAATCTTCAGTTGTTTTTACTAAGTTTCCAGTTAATAAAGCGACATTTAAAAAACAGAAGAGCTTTCGAACAATAACTTTACGGAAGTTACTGTACATTTCAGACTAAGCTCCTTAAGTGTACCCATTGAAATGGTACTTTATAGCCGTGCAGGCCATAAATATAGGTTTTTCATCTACGAGTTACAATAACGTGAAGTCATGTTGTGGTTTCCTTGTAACCATGGCACAGACCATTATTGACAGTATTAGTGGTCGGCTGCTCGTTGCTTGTGGTAAACCTATTGGTTTTTGTGGGAACGTTCTGCCAACATCGGGAAAGGGGCGCTGCAGCAGGAGACGTCAAAAGTTCAAAGCAGATGGGCGCAAAAAAAATAGCAGGCACCCTCAAAACGGGTGGGACCGATGCCAGTCCGTCGGAACATACAGCATCGGCCAAGGCGGTAAGTAGCTTTTAAATTCTCTGCCTTACGTAGCTGTCGACTGCAAATTTACGTACCGGATATCGTATCATTGTACCCTTACTTTACCGTGTTTTCTGAACAGCTTTTCTCGTTACCGCTGAAGTCTATTTTCCCTAGTATCGATGGGTTTTACCGTTTTATGTCCGCGGATTTCCAATGCTTATCTTTGATAGTATTGCTCATTAGAAGTTTATGAACCGAAGTCGAAGTGGCGATTGGAATCGAAGTTTACGACGGCTCAGTGGACCACTTAACGATAACAAAGCGCTCGATGCTGGGTTGGCTTTAGTATCTAACATTCAGATCAATTACGTCTCATTTCTTTTGGGCTCGTGTCATGCCACAGCCATGCTTGTGTCCTTTTCCATGATACGCACCCCCGCGGAAGTTCAATTGCCCTTCAGGGTACAGCAGTAACTGCATTTAGCGGCGGCTGCTTTTGGCCATTGGTCATCAACGCTTTAGTAAAGTGCAGCTGGTGAACCAATGGGAACTAAGCGGTGATCGTCTTCGCAGCGATCCACGCCGTTCAGTGGGAAAGAGTGCGAATGAATTTTATTCCCAATTAGTAGCTTAAAACTGTATCGAAGCTAGCGTTTACCCCTCAACAACCCCGAAGGAAATTTAGTTCTGACTTTTGCGACATCCATTTGTTACATTTATAGCCAGGTTGTTACGTGCAATGGGGGAAAAACGGACAGTACGGCAGAAGTTTGTGCGTGAAGGGATCGCGATAGAGGAAAAAGCACTTACATCATAATGTTTTTTTATTTTTCTTAATTTTTTTATGTAATATTTATTTTTATTTAAACATGAATACCACTGTGTGAGTTGATATTGGATTGAGCGGATACACAACCGTGAGTTCGACTCCATGATATAAATCGATAGTTTATACTATTTGGTTATTCCTGTCTTCAGTTGTAGTATCACACGGCTGGCTGGCTATACAGAGTATACGACGCTTACGTATGGCGGACATATTCGAATAAAACTTAGTATTTTCTCTAAGCACTGGACAACTCTGCGGGAAATCCGTCTTGTATTCTAAGGCGTTTCTTCCATCAAAAGGCACTTGATGGATTCTGGCAGAGGAATTTTATACGGCCAACTAACACTTGGCAATTTGTCTACATTTGCAGTCCATAAAGGAGGAGGATGTTTGTCTACAGAAGACAATCCTGCAGAAAGATGCAGCCATGCTATTTCTTCAGGAAGCAACGCCTAATGGCTCTCCGGCCGCACTGGTAAGGGTGACTACTTATCAGATTCACTGCGACAACACTGAAGCAACGTCCATATCGATTACGTGGGTAAGATAAAGATCAAATGGTAACAAGGAGAATTATTCTTTTTTCTTTAGTCGAGTTTTACCCGCAAAGCACAAACAGCAAGCTCGGTCAGTATAAATGCAAGCTAATTAATTGTACCTTTTTTTTTAACTCACTTCAATCATTCTTAAATCAACATCCACACCTGCAACAGCATCAGGCGCAAGCGAATATCGATCTAAACGATGACAGTATTCTATCTGATGTGGCCAATTCAAGTTCAGCCATTCTCGGACCCGTTGAACTTGAAGCTTGCTTCCTGTATCAGTTACCACCAGACTTCGTCTCGGCCAGGTTACCTCATGGCCATCGGGTGCGTCATGTCTCCACGACCGCCAATTGGATTAACTTACCGTAACCTCTTTTATCTGCTTGCATTATAACTATATTGGTCTTAACCACTGTCGCGAGCGTACCAAAAACAATTTTGTTGACAATCTCGTCATATTGTGCTTTCGGTAGTTTGTTAAGATGGCAGCTACTAACCATCAATATCAGACGCATCGCGAAGTGCTTGAATACGGCTGAGAAACGTTTCGCCTTCCATTTGCTTTAGGCGTCTGTGGCCTAATTAAAACTGGTAAACCTGTTCCATCGGATCAGTCGAACGTACTTACGTATGAGACAAATCTATATGCTTTGAACAAAATTCCAAAACAGAGTACTTTAAAACTCTGTAAAATGTTACCTAAGCAAATTGATTTTTTATTACTTTCGGCCAAGAAACCCCACAGGAAGACTCGCGCACACAGAAATAACTCCGACTACCCACACGTACGATACGCTTATATAATAACAATAAAACAGTTAAATAACAACTATTGATTGTCATTAAACTAATATCGCACTGACATCCTCTGGTATTACTAATCGTAGCTCAATACAGCTTTAAGTTACAAGAAACCGGGCGAAGCCAACACAAAACAAAAAAGGTGTAGAGAGTGGACGAAAGAATACGAAGGATACGAACGATGATCTATTTATTGAATGCGTTTCAAAAATGTATCAGGGAAGTATCAGCGGTCGATCTTTCACGGTCATGGACGGCGTTCGGAAATTGGCCGCAATAGAAGTGAACAGTAGTCCCCCTATAGGGGTGGGTGCATGCCACGTGCCCAATGTCGTCCCTCTAGGAACAATCGGCCAGGCCCCTGCAACACCAGTAGGGCGTACACCGCAGATCAACCCTCAGGGCCAACAGCAGGCGACCCAAGGCGGCCTCCTGGCGGCGATTCCGCCCACGACGCCGCAGCTACCTCGAAGTCACCAGGCGGCTACCGGCAACGTCCTGCCTCAGCCAGACGTCGCTGTCACGTCGTCGACAGCTCAATCTGTCACAGCCACAATGACTCTGGCGAGGTCAGTTGAGCTGAGTTCGCCTTGATTTGTCGCCTCGTTAGCAGATTGCGTCTCTAATTTTATATAAGAGAATAGGAGAGTAAAATGGGACCAAGCAGCAGAAGTACCAAGCCAGGTAGCGAAAGCTTAAGCTTCACATCTCTTGCAGGTCCTCCCATATATATATACGGTAGGACACTTAAATCGGGACCTTCTATCATGCCTTGCTTCTAATACTAACGAATTTTTTTACATATACTAGGAATGTTGTCCTTAGCAGTAATGTTTATTTAAAATAATTCATATTCGCTGCGATTGCAGCTTCAGTTTGGAACCTAAGCCACACACTACTCACCTTCAATGAATTTAATTCGTCTTAACTTTTTTAAAAGTAACCGTGCGTTAAGCGATCTTGACAAGCGTAAATTGGTCAAAGTGTCAAGTACGCTGCGTACAAAAAAATTGAAAACTAAGTGGGTTGATTGCAAGGTTTTCAAGGTCTCGGAAAATCTAAGGGTTTAGAACACCCAAAAAGTGCAAAAAAGTGCAAAATGTCTCACAAAAAAGTAACCGCTGAAACGTATCTGGACAACCCAAGTGACAAATAATGTTTTCCTTTCTGAAACTGCTGTTCACTTTTGTACTAAAAACTGAGATATATCAGAAATGGTTTGCTATTTTAACGACTTTATGCCCCTAAAATCTAAAAATATTTGAAGATCTTATCGGAAATTCTGATTTGCTTCATGAAAATCTTCCGAGGATTTTTCAGAAACAGTATGAAAACTGACAATAACGGAAACCGTTGATCTTGGGTAAGAAAATGTTTTTGATATTGGTGGGGGTTTGCCCAGCGCAAAAATATAGGATGAGAGCATATCATTTTATTTCAAACTGCTGAAACGATGCATTCTTTGCACCATGATAAACATGAATTTATTTTACAAAAAACCTGTGTTCCTTTACCACCGAAAATACTGGGTTAACGTGTGCTCGTTACGACAAACAGTCCGCTAAAGTGGGTCCCAATTTAAAATCCGCACCATATATATATATATATATATATATATATATAGAAGCAAGTAATGCGACAGGGCACAGGCCCACGGTTGTGCAGCTGTGGCAAAGGTTCGCTTCAGAGTACGTCTACATTTTCAAGCTAATAGTGAGGAAATGTTCACCTGGGGCAATCTACCTAGCTATATTACTATTTGTATCAATATATATATATATATATGCAATTGGGGCTCATATAAATCTCTAAAGAAAATGATGACCCATAACCTCTAAACGGAAACAAAGTGAAGCGTAGGTGAAGTTTAGATGAGCCACGACGACGGCTTGGTCAGCTATCCCAGCAGTCGAACCTAACTGCTTCAAATGGAAGCTAGATAAGATTCGCTAATTAGGATCTTATAAGATCGCTTTGATTAAAGATCTAAAAGTTTAGCATATACAGAGAAGAGTCTCCTAATCTGACACCTAATATATAATGCACTTTTCTAAATCATTAATGGCGTTTCCTGGCCTTATCAATTATTTCTAATCATTTGCTTGGAAAGAACTTGGGCAACATGGCTAATTGGTGTATAATGAACTTCTAATTCAGGCACTCTATGGCTCACCAGTTTGAAACACATCAACAATCCAGTGCGAAGGAATCGTAAGTATGAGAAAATATCTTACATGTCCCAATCCGTATAAAATAAGCGAAATATAAACTTCCGAATATAATAACTTCAATGTATGGAATCCGAAAGGAGGAGCAGGGAAGTAGGTAGACTAGATGAACTATTTATTGTAACCCTTCCTTGAAGCGTTAGCTCAGTTTAGAGGTCGTATTTTACTATTTAAGCACGGAGTTAATCATTTTTTTCTAGATTAAGTAAACATACAGCCAAATTAGTTAGTTTGCCTATTTTTTTGCCGCTTCGAAAATGTTTTTTTCTGCGTCCACCTTACTTGCACTGATTAACAAAATAGTTTGAAGGGTATAAGCGGACTTAAAGCTAAAAAAAGGTTTTCAAAACAAATATGCTTACTCCGGAGTGGAACTTTGCGAACGTTGTAACGGCGTAAACATACGTGTGGTGTGTAACAGATATATATATATATATATATAACATACAGATACAGACCATATTTACATGATAGGTACTTTTTTTAATCGCCTCTGCGTAAATAAAGCTGCGTTTGTTTATCGTCGCCTATAAATCAACTCATGGGAACAAAATCGTAATTTCTTTGAAGACACGTCGACGTTTTTCGTAGGTTTTCAGCTGGTCTACTATTACCGTCGCGTTTTACTGGCTAGCATAGCAAGACCACTTCGTCCATAAATGTATCTCTGAACGTGTATCTGATACTTACGATAATCATATGGTGCAGTCGAGACGTATCAGAGTGTGATGTGAGCCGTATTAGGTCAAACACGTGAAATGGCCAATTCTATGGTACCAACCTAACCTAATATATATATATATATATATAGATAACCTAATAATGTTTATTCGTGTGAGTATGGCAGTTAGCTGTGTATATGATGCTAAGCAAAATATAATCAAGTGCTACACATTGTGATAGTCTTCCATTCATATAGGGTGATACGTTGTACGAAGCTTACTAGTGTACTCTTCACGCATGATTTCAGCGGAGGCCGATCTTCATTTAAAGGCGGCGAAGAAACCACCGTGTAATATTCTGTACATATAATAAATGAGTAGTAGCTACGTAACATAATGATAAGAGTAATTATCTGGGACTGGAAGGAATGATGAATAGGAAGAATACACATATAGAGAAGTATAGAAAATCATTAAGAGCAAGAGGATCCAAATGCGGTGTAACATGTAAGTGTGTGAAATATTGGCCAATCGGTACCAGCGAGAGGTAAACGGCTGATCGGCAGAAAAAATCGAGCTGAACGAAGACCAGTGATGCAGCGGACGACGAGTAACATTGACTCTGTCATCACTTATCTTGAATATAAACATTTCATATGTGAACATGCTAGTTTTCTTTCTTCGTTTGTCCAACTTAGGTACGAGGTCCGTCAGTTAAAGACGATTAATAGGGACCTGTTTTTAAGCAGTTAATAGTCCTACTTGTTTCATCACAGTTATCACGGTGATCATCACAATTGAACGATCAATTGGGCGCAAAGCAGACGTGTAAGGGAATTAAAATTTGTAGCACAGCATATACTTAAACCGCAAATCTTTTGTGTCACTTAGCACAGGATCTATCTATATATGAAAATTGTAGTTGATAAGAAAATTGATAGGGATGCTTCACCTTACCACTACAGTCAACAAATAATCATAATATTAATCGGCAAAATTTAGACGGTTGACTATACAAAGCCATTTCTGTTTTCATTTTCCTTTGGTTTCATTAAACCTATCATTTCACGCTCTACATTTGATTTAAGGTCAAGCATTATATATATATATATATATATATGTACGAGATTCAGCGTCTACATTTTATAGTCTTGCTTCTGAAGGGCGGCATGTCCTCTTTCAGGTCTTATTGTACACATTTTTCCAGCTATTCAGTAAAGCTTTATCCAAATGTACTATTATGCCCAGCACCAAAACTTGATTTCCACACTTTTGTTAACTGTGGTTAGCTTTCTTCCGAACGAAAAGAATATTAATTTTTGCTCGTGTTTGCCACTCCAATATATTCCTGATCCATCACTTTTCTGGTGCCACACTGTCCCCACCGTGTTTTTGTCTACTGTCTCGCCAAGGCTAAGTGGTCGGTATGCCGAATCCTGTGGGCAGTCTTATGCTTTCTATAGACGACTAGCGAGATCAGGCCAAGCCACACAATTCTTCTCCGTAGTTCGCTAACCTCTATAGACGAATTTTTATAGGTCTTCAATCAGGGCCTCCGTGGACTGGAAGGTGCCCAGAAAACGAACGAAGCCGGTGTGATTGCGCACGGTAGCTACCGTGCAGCATCCGCTTATTGCATCCGCTGTCTCTCAACGATAACGTAGGCCAACACAGTCTGACCGGCCAGTTGGACTTCCGACCAAGGCTATAGATCTCGAATGTTCTGGTCTCCCCCATTGTGCAGCTTGTCGCATGATACAGTGCGATCACGTTGCGTGTGAAGGTGCTATTGTTACTGAAACTACGGAAATCAAATGTAGAAAACAATAGAATAAAAAGCAATAGAGCAGGTTTGATGAGCGTACTTTCAGCAAAAAGTGGAACGAGTACTGACCAAAAAGCTCCGACTACCCCGTAGCGGAAGGTCCACTTAGGCTTTTAACCAGAAGGTCGTAATCGGATGAGGGTGTGAAGTGGCGGGGCTACCAGGGGTGGTTGTGGAAATGTTCGAAAAGCTGTCAAAATCAGGGATCCTTCTTATTAACGAAGCTTTAAAGTGTAGAAAAGTTAATTTTAGCCATAGCTAGCCATGAGAAAACATATTAGACTCCTATCGATTGCCGCTTTTCGAGTTACTTTTTATGCATTATAAGCCGTTGTTGATCTCTATTCAACTATTCATATCCGCCAATTATACGGACATTGAGGATATCGATAGTATAATATTAGCATCTTTTATGCGCAGCCGCGTTTGGTTCTTCCTCTTCATCAAAACAGGTAAACACTAGTTAAAGGACCTGAATATACTAAAGCAATGTTTAAATGCTGCTTTGGCCTAGCTAAATACAATCGATTGTACTCGTTGCATAGTAAGCCGTTAAGCATTTCAAATCTCGCGCCTTTGACCCCCAAACGGGCTACATTTTAGCAAGCTGGTAAGGTCGACTGCAGTTATCAACGTGGCTATTGTGATTATCTCTCCAACCATTATAATGTATCCATTATTATATGTAAACATACATATCTGCAAACTACGTCTGTAAAGACTGATCCAAAACGGGACAAGAGATTTTCAAGATCCATTTAAAAAGAATCCTCCGACAACAAATTACGTATACATACGGGGATTTTGAGCCACGGAACGACGTATGACTTGCAAGATATCAAAATGCCAGTTTGCAGATGAGTCAGAACCGTATGACTATTGACAACAGACAGCACACAGATAAGCGACTTCCATGAAAAGAAATGCTTCTCCTTGTTGGAAAAGATATAAATTTTCTATTTGAATCTCATAGGAGTTAAGTCATATTGTGCAAGATTAAACGCGGTCACTTAAACTCTATTTAATCATTCACACTCGATATATTACTAACCTTTCGAGACGGCACAGAGGTAAACACAAAAGACGAATCCGCTAACTGGTAAAAAAAAAATTACCAAAAGCTGATCGTCTACACGCTCGTTACTATGCTTTTTAGAGGTGCACACAATGGACGCGAGCAACTCATGCTAGAAACGCTTCAGAGAGTGCCCAATATATAGCGCACAAGCTTTAGAATGCACTCATAATTTTAGGCTTGACATATAGAAGTCTTCAATGGCTATTGAAATAGGCTTAGAACTTGTGCGCTTCATCTAAACATCTAATCAGCCAGACTGGTTACGTAAAAAACAATCGCTGTCATCGGTTGTGGTATCCTTCCTTAAGTATCGTTTAGTCGATGAAAGTAAGCATCGCAACAGGCAAACCTATTCCCCATTTTAGCATTTATTTTATTTTGTCAACTTTAAGATTGTCAACTGTACCCCAACCGTTATGCTCGAACATGCTCGCTGCGCAAATCTTCTGCGTTCCATTAAGATGCCACAAAATCAGTATGAACACAAGCTTCGATCAGCCAAAAATTTTTTTCGTATGTCCCCTTGTTTTTGTCTCAAGTCAAGTTTGCAGCTCGTGTGTATCATGGTCAAGACAGTCTTCGTTCCCGTTACGTGTCAACGACAGTTTCAAATACAACAGCGCCGCCGTCTGACATAATGCGTCCAATAAAGAATTCGTTTTCCTTGAAAAAATAAATCAAGCCCTTTGGTCAATACCGAAAAATCAATGATCCCCGCACCAGAACGCCCGCCTGTACAGCCTGACATCGGCGTACGGATATGACGAGTTGCTTGGGCTTGTCAATTGTAGCTGGCGACATCTTCTCAGTTTTACTCAGGCATGCACATACGACGCCATTGCAGGCCTTCCTCGTACTAATACTCGAAACACTTTCCCTTTTTGAGGCTCTCGTCTCCCTCGACGTAATTTTTTTTCGCGGAAACTTTTACGCATGTTCATTTTCACACCGTGCCATTGGATCAGATTGAACCGTGAAAATTCGTAAGACAGGCGTATGCTCATATTTCGTCTCTGTTTGGACTGCGGTGCTCCCACGTCAAACGGATGCTATTAACACTTTACTTTCATGGCTGCTAATCGTTTGGCTACGCAGGCCTTCGCGTGCTCTGTTGAGGTGGTTCTAGAAAAAAAAAACCGGGACAATATGCAGAGAAGCTAAATATAATAATAATAAATATAAAAAATATAAAACAATAAATGTTCAGCAACAAAAAGGCAAAAGGAAAGGCCGTTGCAGCTGGGCCAGTCTCTTGCACAATGCAGCCAATGACATACTGCGAAACTGCTGAGTATGGCTTTGTTAGTCAGGTATTCGTTGTTGTGTCGGCCGTTCTAAGCAAAGCGTCGTTAGGCACTATACACAGAACTAGCAAGGAAGACACGTTCCTCTTATAGTGATCCCGTACAAAAGTCCTCAGTTGTCATAGACAGGGTTGAATTGTTCCTCATACTGTGGGCAAGACAATTTCAAACATGTAATCTATAGCTTTTTCGAATGAATACCGGGTTCTTCAATCTTAAAGGAGGCACGTACCTATGGTAAATCTGACGTTGAGCTGCTGTTGCTAGGTCATAACCCGTCGTAATGTAACTTATAATTATAATTTGGTTATCAGCAGCTTTATAAGCCATGCACTGGTGGTGTATTTATTGGACTTACAACAAACGGGGTTAATGAAAAGCAAGTAACCAGCATAGGAGGGCGTTGGGCACGCTGTAAAAAAAAAAAAGATCCCGCCTTTACGAGCCTACAAATAGTGCAATAGTAGTGTCTGCGAAAATTATCTCGATGACGCAATATGCGGATATGTTTACTGAACATTAAGGAGGCTATTGAAATATCTAATAGCGCAAAGAGTTGATATTAAGCATTAAGGAACAACTCGGTCGTATCAGTGATGCGAGGCGCGGTATAGGCTCGCATGGAATAGTTCGTGTCCAGTATAAGACATACATATTCCTGTGTTCCGAGAGCCTTTCGATTCATGGATACTCTAATAGCTGTAAACATTATGGGTACAAGAATTCATATTTCCTTTTGGGTAGAGGCCTTTTTTGTTTTTCTAGTCCCTGATCGCAAGCTTATTTCCAGCTCGACATGCGATTAGTCGGCTTATGGTTTGCATTCCCTTCACGAACTAACTGCGGCATGTACATGCTGCCTTCTCCCGGGTCGTGCGTTAGACCATGTCGACTCCCTGTCACTTCATCCCCTTTCAAGTAGACGACCAATGTACTATTCTTCGTTTATAGACTTTTGGCAAAGCATGTTGTGCTGCATGCTCCGGGGCTGGAATGGCGGGTGTTTCGTTCAGTAGGCCCGTGTCCTGCCGGCCTTGTCTAAGGTGGCAGACCCAACGACTCATCTATCTTCGTAGTACTCTCTTCGAAACCGGATTTTCGTCATCTGCGCGTTTCTGACTGTTTGTTTGTGCACATTTGCATGAATGCTACGACTCCGCCTGCCGCTGTCTAGAGCCCCTTGTCCCGAGATTTAATGACTGCAAGCGCTAGCGGTTGGACTGAAAACAGTGGTCGAACGCCCGGTCGCTCATTCGCAGCCTCGCTGCTGTCCTCGTATGGCCGTACCGCAGAGTGTAGCATCCAGACCGCGCATGAGAATGGAAAAGAACACAATATGTCGATGTAACCATTGTCGCGAACAGTCTATGGGCCTGCACTGGCTACGGATTGGCTGTTGACGACACGGGAAGAGTCATATAAAGAATGGGATTATAGGAGTGGAACTGATTGGGGCTGTTTCGAACTGTACGTGGAAACCGATAAATCCTGAGAAAGACTTTTTCTTTGGCCTCAGGCGAGCCACACGAGCAGAAACTTTGTTTTGCTGATTATGAATAATAAGGTAAATAAACCATGTGAC